CAATCCTCCCCAACTAGCCAAATCAAAATCAAATCCCTAACTCACCCCATAGGGATATCCAAAGACAACCCAAATGTACAAAAGGCATTACGATTGGGTCGCGAATTACTGATTACTTGTGTACTGCCAGCTGTGGACATGTGGGCAGGATTCAAACAAACCCAACCTTCATTTACGTTGTGATGCGGTCATGTTTTGGATGAGACTGACTTTTGACCAAAGTTATCATATTTAGACTTTGTAGTCAATTTTGACAGTAGAATAACTGTTTTCTAAATAAGAAGTTGTTTTTTAGGTGCAGTTGCTCTTTAAGACAACTACTTAACTCCTCTTGAAGTAAGGATTAAATACTTTAAAACAATAGTACATTAATAAAAGCCTGTTTATCAAAACAATGTTTTTATGAGCTAAACATAACTTTTTTTTTTCTTTGTCATTTAGCAGAAGCTCTTATCCAGAGCAACTTACAGGAGCAATTAGGGATAAGTGCCCTGCTTAAGGGCACATCAACAGATTTTTCACCTAGTCGGCTCAGGGATTAGAACCAGCAACCTTTCGGTTACTGGCACAACGCTCTTAACCACTAAGCTACCTGCCGCACCATTTCAATATCAGAAAGTCTGTGATGCCATTTTTTTCCATGCATTAATTTACAAATGTATCTAAGCTAGGCTAACTAACTCACTAAATCAGTCAGTCAGTTGGCGCGTTCAAGAGGATCACTTTTGGCAAGTTGGTGACCACCTTTCAAAGTGTGTTGCATTACAGGTAAAGAATTGTCAGACTTGCGCCTACATGTCGACTGCATGAACTTTACAAAAATCATGCAATCAAAGGGCATGAAGATTTGACTGCAGTTTACAGCAAGTTTCTGCAGTTGCTCTTCAGCAACGTCATTCTGCAGCCATCACTGCATTGTGGGAGGCTCTATTGTCAACCAATCATTAGGGTGTTTTTGTTTGACCCACCTGAAAATGACCAGAGACATTACTTAAACAGGAAACAATTTTCCACGAATCATGTGTACAGTGAATATTTACAAATACAGTGCCTACAGAAAGTATTCACACCCCTTGACTTTTTCCACATTTTGGACAAATACATTTGTCATTTTTGGTCAACGATCTACACAAAATACACTAATGTCAAAGTGGAAGAAAGATTCTAACATTTATGAAAGGTTTATGAAAAATAAAACACCCATTATCTTAATTAGAGAAGTATTCACCACCCTGAGACAATACAGGTTATAAACACTAGTGGCAGCGATTACAGCTGTGAATCTTTCTAGGTAATTCTCTAAGAGCTTTGCACACCTGGATTGTACAATATTTGCCCATTATTGTTTTTTAAATGCTTCAAGCTCTGTCAAGTTGGTTGTTGATCATTGCTAGAAAGCCCTTTTCAAGTCTTGCCATAGATTTTCAAGCCAATTTAAGTCAAAACTGTAACTAGGCCACTCAGGAACATTCCATGTCGTCTTGGTAAGCAACTCCAGTGTAAATTTGGCTTTGTGTTTTAGGTTATTGTCCTTCTGAAAGGTGAATTTGTCTCCCAGTGTCTGTTTGAAAGAAGACTGAACCAGGTTTTTCTCTAGGATTTTGCTTGCGCTTAACTCTATTCCGTTTATTTTTATCCTACAAAACTCCCTAGTCCTTGCCGATGACAAGCACACCCATAACATGATGCAGCCACCACCATGTTTGAAAATATGAAGAGTGATACTCATGATGTGTTGTGTTGGATTTGCCCCAAACATAACGCTTCGTATTCATGACAAAAAGTTCATTTCTTTGCCACATTTTTTGCAGTATTACTTAAGTGCCTTGTTGCAAACAGGATGCATGTTTTGGAATATTTTTATTTGGTACAGGCTTCCTTCTTTTCACTCTGTCATTTCGGTTAGCATTGTGGAGTAACCACAATGTTGTTGATCCATCCTCAGTTTTCTCATATCACAACCATTAAACTCTGTAACTGTTTTTTAATCACCATTGGCCTCATGGTGAAATCCCTGAGCAGTTTCCTTTCTCTCCAGCAACTGAATTAGGAAAGACGCCTGTATATTTGTAGTAACTGGGTGTATTGATACAAATCCTAATTAATAACTTCACCATCCTCAAAGGGATATTCCGTTTCTGCTTTTTTTTATTTGTACATTTCTACCAATCGGTGCCCTTCTTTGTGAGGCATTGGCTAGTCAAGGTTAGAAAACTAGCTAGCATGCTAGATAATCCAAAAGAAAACTCAACAGATTGCATGGAAAGTATATTCTGTAGATGGTAACCAGCTAGCTAGCCTAATTGGTAGGCCTAACAAAAACGCCAGAGAAGCTAACGATAGCTATCTACAGTTAACTAGCTTGCCAACACTAGGCTAACTAGCTAACTACCTATGCTAAATCGTCCAGCCGAATTCATGTACACAAAAAAGCAAAACAAATTGCATGGAAAACTTACTCCTGTGTTGACATTTTTGTCTTGTCTACACCACTTTGTTTCTTTCATGGCAATCTGTCATTGCTGCACTCTAAAAAATAATGTGCTAAAAACAACCCAATTTGTTGGGTTACTTTGACCCAGCCAGTTGCCTTGCGTGAATAACCCAACATGTTGGGTTGTTGGGATTACCCAAACATGGGATAATTTAACCATCAGTTAGGTATTTTTTACTTTCATGCTGGGTTGACCTAGTAGCTGGGTCTTTTTGAACGAAATTCTTTGGTTATATTCATGAGGTGTGGCTTATTAGGGGCGTGGCTTTCAGCTTGATCTCATTGGCCAGACGTGAGAGTAAATGTTATTCCTGTTCATTATTTTAAGTTTACATACTCAATATATATATATAAAATTTTTTACACATTTTATGATATTACGATTACTTATTACGTATTATAATAAGGTATACCACCTTATTGCATCCAACAATGGGATTTGCATAGAGTTTTAGCAAACTCAAACATTTGTAGCATCATTGAAGCTACAAAAATGATGCTCCATCTTAACATGTGATATATATAGTGTTCCAAAAGGATTCTTTGCGGAGGGATAGTGTTCTACCAAGAACCGTTTTGATCAGAAGAACCCTTTTTAGAAGACAATGGTTATTTGTAAGTCAAAGGGTTCTACCTAGAACCTTTAACATCCTATGAACCATTATTGGAAGAAATTGTTATTTGATGATTCATTGGAAGGCAAGAAGGATTCTTTGGAAGGCAAGAATGGTTCTGATTAGAACCCTATATAATATTTCCCAGTATGCTCTATTGCAGGCAGATTTTCAGAATTGTTTGTGTTATGTGTTTTTGCATGTACATTGATTGGCTGATTCATTTTATGCTACACAAAGATAAATAACATAACATTTTCTAAACCAATCCAATCTGTTGATTTATTGCACCTGTTACTGAGATGGTTGTTCCAGTTTAGATGATTAAGGTAGTCTCAGTAGTCAGTTTACCCTACCCTGGCAGTCATTCTGAACGCAGGTTGCAGGTGATTAACAATTCCACTGTCCTAATGCTGGCCGGATTCCCATATGATATATGGACTGTGTTGTCATAAATAATACCATTTTAAAGGCTAAAACGGCTGAAGAGTCCTACCCTTTCACAAAGGTTTTTAGGAAGAAACTTCCAAAGATGAAAGGGTTCCTGGTAGAATCCTTCATAGACAGTTCTATGCAGAACCCTTAGATTATAAAATATTCTTAGTCAAACCCTTCCTAGAGAGTTCTACATAGAACTATATACAGGTGTTCTTTGAAGAACCCTATGTAGAGTTCTACTAAGGAGACAAACCAAAGAATGCTGTATGGTTCTATCTAGAACCATGTTTTCTAAGGATGTTCAGTATGCAACAGATGAATATGAATGACATTTACTCTCATGGGTGGCCAAAAAATATTTTCTGAAAGCCACACCCCTACTAAACTACGCCTCCAGTCTTCTGATCTGACCCGATGGGTCATATCTCAATAACCCAGCACCAATAACCCAGCACTCAGTATCAATAACCTAGCAATTTTTAAAGAAAACAACCCAACATTTTTTTGTGTGGATTTTGCACACTGACCTTCTTCTCGACCCGTTCTTGCTGAGCATTTTAAGTGCATTTACAAACCATTATTCAACCAAGCTTAGTAGGCTTACGATTTGGCAAGCACAAATTACTTTCTCAAAATTGCAACCATAACTGCTTATTGATGTGTCAAAAAAAATTTGATTGATGGTTGAAGCAATTGACCCATTGTCAAATGCACCATTAATTGATTGAGCAATTTAAAGTATTTTTGAATGTGAACTGTTTGTGAACTCCTTTTTGCCATTGGGCATCAAACTCCAGAGACCTTTATTGCAGAGTTGTGTCAATGAGGTGGTCGGTTTTAAATTGGCTAACATTTATCACATGGTTTGTGCATGCTGAAATGTTCAGGCTGAATTAAGGTGTGTTGGGATATATAGTTGGAAACTTTAACATTTGTAACAAGCATGGTAACAAGCATTCGTTGTTACACCTCTGTAATTAGACTGCAATTACCACCAGTTACATATTATTATTACAGTGTAAATATGAATTATTACAATTCATTACAGTACTTGTTACTGTGTAATTACATATGTAATTACACTGCATTAAGTACCCCTTAAAAATAAGTGTTACCCACCTTGGCTACTATAGATACATCATAAGAAGGCTCTAACAATGATATTAACACTACGAAGGCACTGGGAAACGAGCACTGCTCTTCTCAGAGGGAAGGGACAGGATGATATCAGTGAAGCATTTTCCTCATACCTATGTTAAATAGATCATGCAAAGTTTGATGGCATTTCTGCCCAACGGCTAGCACCAGGCGTATTACCTGTAAACTTAACAAAGAAGACAGACAGGAGGAGACAGGGAGGGGATAATCAGATGGTTTATAGTGATAGATCCCAGCTCAAATCTCTCGCTACACTTGGAGAGTAAAACTTTGTAGGTCATTTTGCATAGTGAACCATGTCCACCATGGCTACAATCAATAAGCGTTTGCATGAAACTCTGGAGGAGCTGGTCTCAGACAAGTTAAAGAGATTCCAATGGCACCTGGTTAGCGATGCACTTGAGGGCATTCCTCTCATCCCAAGGAGCCAGCTGGAGAATGCGGACAGGGAGGACACAGTGAATAAACTGGTAAAGATTTATGGCCCTTAAAACCATACTGGACATCCTGAAGAAGATGGAGCAGAGAAACCTTGTTGAGAAGCTAGATAAAGACTGCCGAACAGGTAACAAGTCACAACAGGCATGAAATGTTTTTCTGACATTTTAACCCAATCTCAATTGTACCCCTTTCCTGCAGTCAAAAGACCAAAGCGCCCTCTAGTGGCCTCATGGGTGGAACATTATAATATTCTTCATAATTTCATAATTAATCAAATTTCCAGTGTTTCTATGTCAAACGGTTTTGTAATATTTCAGTCTTCTGTGATGTAAATAAAGTGTAATATTGGGATGCAAACTCAAAATTGTATACATTTCAACTCCATATATGATCTTCTTATTTTTAAGGCAATAACCATGTGTGTGAGGTGTAAACTTTCAAAGTAGATTTGTTTAAGCCTACCAAGAAACACTCTGTGTGACCCTGATTTAGCCCACTGCAGGAAAAGTTTGAAGAAAATCAATGTAAATGCCGCAAGGTTATTATAGTAAATTAAAACTGAAACTAAAACGAAAACTAATCTAATCATGAAAAACAATTTAGTAAACTGAAATAAAATAATTCACAAACCTGTTTAAAAAAAACTTAAACTATACTGAAACTATTATCTTTTGACTCCAAAACTAACTAAAATATACTGAACAAAAATATAAACGCAACATGCAACAATTTAAAAGAGTTACAGTTCATATAAGGAAATCCGTAAATTGGAATAAATTCATTAGGCCCTAATCTATGGATTTCTGGGCAGGGGTGCAGCCATGGGTGGGCCTTGGAGGGCCTAGGCCCACCCACTTGGGGGCCAAGCCCAGCCCATCAGAATGAGTTTTTCCCCACAAAATGGTTTATTACAGACAGAAATACTCCTCAGCACCCCCCTCAGACGATCCCACAGCAGAAAAAGATGGATGTGGAGGTGGAGGTCCTGGGCTGGTGTGGTTACACATGGTCTGTGGTTGTGAGGCTGGTTGGACGTACTGCCAAATTCTCTAAAATGACGTTGGAGGCAGCTTATGGTAGAGAAATGAACATTCAATTATCTGGCAACCGCTCTGGTGGTCATTCCTGCAATCAGCATGCCAATTGCATGTTCCCTCAAAACTTGAGACATTTGTGGCATTGTGTTGCATGACAAAACTGCACACTTTAAAGTGGCCTTTTCAGTGTAAAATAAAAACCATCATGAAGTATGTTCAGTTTTTTTTTTTTTTTCTAAACATTTTGGGTAAAAATAGAATGGGGTTTTCAATGAGGCTTTCAAGCTTGCTTTTTTTCGGGGTTTTCAAGCTTCTAAATCTGGCGTGTCACATTGAGATTGGGTTTGAGTGGTAAGGCTCAAGCAACCAACTGTAGACGAAAGACGGGGAGTGAAGTTGGGGGAGGTGCAACTAGGGCTGTGGCGGTCATTACATTTTGTCAGCCAGTGATTGTCAAGCAAATTACTGCCGGTCTCACGGTAATTGACCATTAATTAACATAAATTAACATAAACATGTTTAGCATCTCCTGGCTTCCACACATAGCCTACAAGCGACTGATGCAGACCTTTGGAACATCTACATTTAAAAAAAGTATAATAAATCAATTTAATATAGCCTACACCATCACAATAAATCCATTATTTATTTTAGAAAGGTCTAAAGAAACATGATATTATGAAGAAAATGTAGTCTATTTCAGAATAACAGAATAGCATACTCTGAGTTGTCCTTATGTTATGCCCTGATATGGCTATGCTATATGGCTGTGGCCTACACTAGTTCATTTAGCAGACAAGATTTGCTTAGAATTCCGTGGCATTATTTTTTATTATTTTATAGTATGAAGAATACAATTGAACATAGCTTAATAAAATAGAAAGGATATTTTCTCCAAACGATTTCAAAGGAAATGCGCACGTGGCAATTCTGTGTTGAGCGGTTAACAAAGAAACTGGTCCTCCTACATGCTTAATTTAGAGTTATTTATTCAACTTTAGTTGTGATACAAACGTTGGGCTATATAAATTATTTTATTTTTAATACATTATAAGGCTGCATGATGGGACTCTAATGATGATTTGAAAAAAGTCACAAGCTGTACACACTTCAGTCTCTCATTCACAATTTGACAAGCACTTGATAATATTCTCACCAGGCCTCGAATTTCCCTCCTGCATCCCCCTTGTGTGGCCGTAATGTCCCCTAAAAACACCATGCCTTTTGCGGCCAAAGTGGCCGTTGTGCCCTTTGGCTAAATATAATCATAATAATTCCCTTCTACTGGCTGCCGTGCTCTGAAGCACCTCTCATTCACATGGCTCTCTCAGATGTAGCCAATGCCCATCATGTGATCAGGTCCATCTCACAGGCATTTCAGCTAAGAAGTAGGCTACAAGTGAATGAAGACAGACACATCAGGTAGGCAACTGCGGGTCCCTCTTATCGAATTCCGAGGTGCATACTGAAGATGTTAGAACTGTCCACATTTATCCTACTTTTCGTCAGCCAACAAGATGAGTAGGCCTAACGAACAGCAAAAACACTAGCCTATGTCAATCTACCATAGTACAAAAGGTTATATATGCTATTGGTCAACTTGTCCTGTGCAATAAATAAATATTCCAAACATACTCTGGGACAGTTGTTGGTTGCGATACATACGAAATGAATTCAACCACTTGCATAAAAAAAAAACATTTAAAAAGCAATAAGGCTGATGTCACAGATCAGAACGTTTAGCTTAAAATGTTGATAAACTATTAGGCTATTTTTTCACATTGTAAGCGCAGCAATTCGCACACGGCAGAAGGCTAAAAGTGTGAATGTTCCAAAATGCACCAATTAGCGGGAAAACACTGTTCTCGAAAGTAAAGGCAAATGCGATTATGCACGTAATGCTTTATTAAAAAGGTGCATTTTTATGGTGAAAATTATCTTCCCCAAACTTGAAACTCACGCGCAGCCTATGAATGCCTGTTAGGCTCTTCACCGGTTATAAAGCGGATTAATGTGCTTAATTTTAAGGAGTTATTTGGCCACTTTATTTGTGAAACAAACCTTATCAAAACATACAGGCCTATGGGCTAGGCTACATGAGGTGTGTGATTATGATTAGTAAAAGTCACCAAAAAAAAAGGCATGCGCTGTTCCTTGCCTTACTGCACACTCTGGGCATCATTCATAAGTGATATTACATAATCCACAAGTGATAGGCTAATATTGTCACCCATCAGACTATTCTTCATTTAAAGTTGTCTTTACATACAGTGTGGGAAAAAAGTATTAGATCCCCTGCTGATTTTGTACGTTTGCCCACTGACAAAGAAATGATCAGTCTATAATTTTAATGGTAGGTTTAATTGAACAGTGAGAGACAGAATAATAACAACAAAATCCAGAAAAAAAAACATGTCAAAAATGTTATGAATTTATTTGCATTTTAATGAGGGAAATATTTCTGGCTCCCAGGTGTCTTTTATACAGGTAACGAGCTGGGATTAGGATCACACTCTTAAAGGGAGTGCTCCTAATCTCAGCTTGTTACCTGTATAAAAGACACCTGTCCACAGAAGCAATCAATCAATCAGATTCCAAACTCTCCACCATGGCCAAGACCAAAGAGCTCTCCAAGAATGATCTCAATGATCTCAAGGCAGCTGGGACCATAGTCACCAAGAAAACAATTGGTAATACATTACGCCGTGAAGGACTGAAATCCTGCAGCGCCCACAAGTTCCCCCTGCTCAAGAAAGCACATATACAGGCCCGTCTGAAGTTTGCCAATGAACATCTGAATGATTCAGAGGAGAACTGGGTGAAAGTGTTGTGGTCAGATGAGAACAAAATCGAGCTCTTTGGCATCAACTAATCTCGCCGTGTTTGGAGGGGGGGGAATGCTGCCTATGACCCTAAGAACACCATCCCCACCGTCAAACATGGAGGTGGAAACATTATGCTTTGGGGGTGTTTTTCTGCTAAGGGGACAGGACAACTTCACTGCATCAAAGGGACGATGGACGGGGCCATGTACCGTCAAATCTTGGGTGAAAACCTCCTTCCCTCAGCCAGGGCATTGAAAATGGGTCGTGGATGGGTATTCCAGCATGACAATGACCCAAAACACACGGCCAAGGCAACAAAGGAGTGGCTCAAGAAGAAGCACATTAAGGTCCTGGAGTGGCCTAGCCAGTCTCCAGACCTTAATCCCATAGAAAATCTGTGGACGGAGCTGAAGGTTCGAGTTGCCAAACATCAGCCTCGAAACCTTAATGACTTGGAGAAGATCTGCAAAGAGGAGTGGGACAAAATCCCTCCTGATATGTGTGTAAACCTGGTGGCCAACTACAAGAAACGTCTGACCTCTGTGATTGCCAACAAGGGTTTTGCCACCAAGTATTAAGTAATGTTTTGCAGAGGGGTCAAATACTTATTTCCCTCATTAAAATGCAAATCAATTCATAACTTTTTTGACATGTGTTTTTCTGGATTTTTTTGTTGTTATTCTGTCTCTCACTGTTCAAATAAACCTACCATTAAAATGATAGACTGATCATGTCTTTGTCAGTGGGCAAACATACAAAATCAGCAGGGGATCAAATACTTAATCCCCTTACTGTATACTAAATAATATATGTGTGAAATTAGTTTTGATCCCCAGGTGCATTATCATGCACCTGTCTCAGAACAGGGGCATTGGGAAAATAAATATGTGTCAACTATGCACTTAAACAGCGAATGGAGGAAGCCTTTCATGTGGTTCATTTTCATGCCAGCCAGGCTATACTCCTGTTGTAAAGCAAAGCAATGTGCTTAATATTAGGAAAGTTGATAAATAGTAGGCCTAGACTATGGAAAGCTGATGGGATCCTCCTCTTTTTAGCAGAGTACATCAAAACTCTGTTTTCTCACGCAGCTGCATAGCCTATAAAATGTTGCGCAACATGAGCTCATGGGCTCTCATGAAGTGTTTGATTAGATTTTCTTTCACATTTGCATTGATGTCAGAGTGATTAGAGGGACAATAGCGTGCTGAGTACCAGGCAGTTAGCAAGTTTGGTAGGCTGCTAATGACCATCAGCAGCATCAGAGCTTGTAGAAGCCTAATTACCGTGGAATTTGATTGCCATCATGACTCGTGACCGCCGGTGTGGCAGTAATACAGTCACCGTAACAGCCCTATACATTTGCAAAAAATTCTAAAAACCTGTTTTCGCTTTGACGTTATGGGGTATTGTGTGTAGATTGATAAGGGAAAAAAACAATTTAATAAATTTTAGAAAAAGGCTGTAACGTAACAAAATGTGGAAAAAGTCAACGGGTCTACCTTTAAACCTAACCTAACATATGACCTGACCCATCACCTTATGCATTACAGCCCCACAGTGGCAAGAAGTGATGTCCCTCCAACCCAAAAATTATACAACACATAAATGGTTCCTATCCTCCCACACATAGGCTACTTACTGTCCCTAACAATAAAATTTTAACTGAAACGAAATAATATAAAGACGAGATATACATGTTTTTATAACACTTAAACTAAATAAAGAACTAGTAAATCAGATCTGAAAACTAACTGAAACTAAAAACTGAATTTCAAATAAAAATCTTAATACTAATACACTGCTCAAAAAAATAAATGGAACACTAAAATAACACATCCTAGATCTGAATGAATGAAATAATCTTATTAAATACTTTTTTCTTTACATAGTTGAATGTGCTGACAACAAAGTCACAAAAAAATTATCAATGGAAATCAAATTTATCAACCCATGGAGGTCTGGATTTGGAGTCACCCTCAAAATTAAAGTGGAAAACCACACTACAGGCTGATCCAACTTTGATGTAATGTCCTTAAAACAAGTCAAAATGAGGCTCAGTAGTGTGTGTGGCCTCCACGTGCCTGTATGACCTCCCTACAACGCCTGGGCATGCTCCTGATGAGGTGGCGGATGGTCTCCTGCGGGATCTCCTCCCAGACCTGGACTAAAGCATCCGCCAACTCCTGGACAGTCTGTGGTGCAACGTGGCGTTGGTGGATGGAGCGAGATATGATGTCCCAGATGTGCTCAATTGGATTCAGGTCTGGGGAACGGGCGGGCCAGTCCATAGCATCAATGCCTTCCTCTTGCAGGAACTGCTGACACACTCCAGCCACATGAGGTCTAGCATTGTCTTGCATTAGGAGGAACCCAGGGCCAACCGCACCAGCATATGGTCTCACAAGGGGTCTGAGGATCTCATCTCGGTACCTAATGGCAGTCAGGCTACCTCTGGCGAGCACATGGAGGGCTGTGCGGCCCCCCCAAAGAAATGCCACCCCACACCATGACTGACCCACCGCCAAACCGGTCATGCTGGAGGATGTTGCAGGCAGCAGAACGTTCTCCACGGCGTCTCCAGACTCTGTCACGTCTGTCACATGTGCTCAGTGTGAACCTGCTTTCATCTGTGAAGAGCATAGGGCGCCAGTGGCAAATTTGCCAATCTTGGTGTTCTCTGGCAAATGCCAAACGTCCTGCACGGTGTTGGGCTGTAAGCACAACCCCCACCTGTGGACGTCGGGCCCTCATACCACCCTCATGGAGTCTGTTTCTGACCGTTTGAGCAGACACATGCACATTTGTGGCCTGCTGGAGGTCATTTTGCAGGGCTCTGGCAGTGCTCCTCCTGCTCCTCCTTGCACAAAGGCGGAGGTAGCAGTCCTACTGCTGGGTTGTTGCCCTCCTACGGCCTCCTCCACATCTCCTGATGTACTGGCCTGTCTCCTGGTAGCTCCTCCATGCTCTGGACACTACGCTGACAGACACAGCAAACCTTCTTGCCACAGCTCGCATTGATGTGCCATCCTGGATGAGCTGCACTACCTGAGCTACTTGTGTGGGTTGTAGACTCCGTCTCATGCTACCACTAGAGTGAAAGCACCGCCAGCATTCAAAAGTGACCAAAACATCAGCCAGGAAGCATAGGAACTGAGAAGTGGTCTGTGGTCACCACCTGCAGAACCACTTCTTTATTGGGGGTGTCTTGCTAATTGCCTATAATTTCCACCTGTTGTCTATTCCATTTGCACAACAGCATGTGAAATGTATTGTCAATCAGTGTTGCTTCCGAAGTGGACAGTTTGATTTCACAGAAGTGTGATTGACTTGGAGTTACATTGTGTTGTTTAAGTGTTCCCTTTATTTTTTTTAGCAGTGTATAAATAAAAACTAATATAAATACACAAACCTATAAAATCCTTGCAATGCCCTGTGTTTCCTTTTGAGATGACGTGTAAATACTTTTCAGACTGCGTTTCATTTCAGGGCTTAAACTACATTTATTTGAATGTTACCACCCAACAGCATGACATTGTTTATTAAACAGAAACAGCTGCAACGTTCTTCCTCTTAGAGACTGAGCTGAGCCAAACAGCCTTGCGTCCACTTGGCTGCCTGAGCCATGGAGCAAATTAAAATAGGGGGTGAAAACTAGTCATAATCCATTGGATAATTTGTCAATTTTTTTTTTTTTTTGTGCTGATCTGTAAAAAATAAAAAAAAGATATGGCCATTGTATAAATTATATAATTGCTTGATATGATTGCATTTTGCAACCCCGCCCCCTCTGTCACCCCAAGATGAATGGTTTTGACCAGTAACGTTTTGCTTCACTACACACTCCACTGCTTTGAATGGTGCAGGTAGAAACCACAAGTGTCTGTCCTATAATGAAAAGGCAAACGCAAAATAAAATCAAGGAACTTATTTATCTATTTTATTGTGCTGTTGTTACAGTATCTCACAAAAGTGAGTACACCCCTCACATTTTTGTAAATATTTGAGTATATCTTTTCATGTGACAACTCTGAAGAAATGACACTTTGCTACAATGTAAAGTAGTGAGTGTACAGCTTGTATAACAGTGTACATTTGCTGTCCCCTCAAAATAACTCAACACACAGCCATTAATATCTAAACCGCTGGCAACAAAAGTGAGTACACCCCTAAGTGAAAATGTCCAAATTGGGCCCAATTAGCCATTTTCCCTCCCCGGTGTCATGTGACTCGTTAATGTTACAAGGTCTCAGGTGTGAATGGGGAGCAGGTTTGTTAAATTTGGTGTCATCGCCCTCACACTCCCTCATACTGGTCACTGGAAGTTCAATATGGCACCTCATGGCAAAGAACTGTCTGACTATCTGAAAAAAAGAATTGTTGCTCTACATAAAGATGGCCTGGGCTATAAGAAGATTGCCAAGACCCTGAAACTGAGCTGCAGCACGGTGGCCAAGACCATACAGCGGTTTAACAGGACAGGTTCTACTCAGAACAGGCCTCGCCATGGTCAACCAAAGAAGTTGAGTGCACGTGCTCAGCGTCATATCCAGAGGTTGTCTTTGGGAAATAGACGTATGAGTGCTGCCAGCATTGCTGCAGAGGTTGAAGGTGTGGGGGGTCAGCCTGTCAGTACTCAGACCATACGCCGCACACTGCATCAAGTTGGTCTGCATGGCTGTCGTCCCAGAAGGAAGCCTCTTCTAAAGATGATGCACAAGAAATCCCGCAAACAGTTTGCTGAAGACAAGCAGACTAAGGACATGGATTACTGGAACCATGTCCTGTGGTCTGATGAGACCAAGATAAACTTATTTGGTTCAGATGGTGTCAAGCGTGTGTGGCGGCAACCAGGTGAGGAGTACAAAGACAAGTGTGTCTTGCCTACAGTCAAGCATGGTGGTGGGAGTGTCATGGTCTGGGGCTGCATGAGTGCTGCCGGCACTGGGGAGCTACAGTTCATTGAGGGAACCATGAATGCCAACATGTACTGTGACATACTGAAGCAGAGCATGATCCCCTCCCTTCGGAGACTGGGCCGCAGGGCAGTATTCCAACATGATAACAACCCCAAACACACCTCCAAGACGACCACTGCCTTGCTAAAGAAGCTGAGGGTAAAGGTGATGGACTGGCCAAGCATGTCTCCAGACCTAAACCCTATTGAGCATCTGTGGGGCATCCTCAAATGGAAAGTGGAGGAGTGCAAGGTTTGTTGCCAGCGGTTTAGACATTAATGGCTGTGTGTTGTGTTACAAAGTGTCATTTCTTCAGTGTTGTCACATGAAAATATATACTAAAATGTAAGGGGTGTACTCACTTTTGTGAGATACTGTACATTTGTATTGGTGTTTCATGTCCGATGCGCTCAGGGTGTTATATGTAATTTGCATCGTGCATCATGACCAAAATCATTTCACTTCCCCTGTGACACACAGTCTTCTCTTTACGTTCTTTATGAATCTCTGCACATCTCTGTGGTTATTCTCTCTTGTTTGTTCAGATTTTAATGGGGAAACTTTGCTCATTGATTGATATTAGCTTTTTCTTTGTGATCAGGTTGGTGTCGAGGCTGTGCACTTAAACTTTAATTACTGGTAACACAAACACATGCCAAATGATATCGACACAACTCTGCCCCTCTATCTCCACCCCCATCCTCTCTATCTCTCTCGCTCTCGTTGTCTATATCTCTTTTTTTGTCTCTCCATCCTCTCGCTCCCTCTCTCGCTGTCTCTCTCTCTCTCTCCATCTGTCTGTCTTTCTCTCCCTCCCCATCTCTCTCCCTCCTTCCCTCCATCTCTCTTTAATTACTACTCTTATTGTTTCTGTCCTGCTCCAGGCTTCCTGAGATCTAGGATCCGTCTGTTAATCTCCACCAGCCTTATTACACTCAGGTCTGCTTTAATATTTAATGGGATGAATTGAGGCCCATGGAATTAGATACTGGTAGTTCAGGCTGTTTATGTGGCCAGGATGGTTCCAGTTCAAACTGTGGCATCCGCACATACATCAGATACACATACACTTGCATGCACAGACACAGACACACACTCGCAAAAGCATGCAAAGAAACACACACACACCCTGCATTGCCTGAGCCGTGAATATTCACCTAGCCACAGAAAGTGTGTAATAAACTCTACCCCAGACTTCCTATCGGCACAGGAAGTTTGACGTTTTGAGCTCTGAGATATTACATTTAATAAAGTGTGGGACATTTTGCATCACTGACTCCAATCTGAGAACTCCAATCTGAGAATTGTTTAATTATTCCACTTGGCAAATGAATCCATTAAAACTTAATGCACTTGTTGCCTACAACAGATACAACACAATGTAATTACATTGTTATTTTATTTCTAATGACTGTTCTAAGTTTTGAATGGAGTAGACTCAGATTATGAGTTAGACTCAGATGATAAGTTAGAACAGTTAGTACACAGAGACAATACCAGCTTGACACAGTCAACTACTGGGTCCATACACACACACACAAGCATGTACATACACACATTTACACACACACGTGTGTAGGCATGCACACACGCACACCCACACACAGGGGGAGGTCTCAGTGTTTGAGACTAACTGTATTGATGGATTGCCCCTTAAGGAGATGGCTCCTTCTCTTCATGTCGCTACCAAATATACCATCTCTGACACACACACCCTGACACCCACATAGACAGTGGAGTCCTGACTGACGTCAGCTGTAATGTCGCTGTCACTGGCGAACAACGTGCTGCACCCTGGATAACACTTTATGTCACTTCATGACAGTTTATGTCAGTGGCAACAGAGGCTTAGAAATGCCAATCAATGTTTCTGTCAAGGGGTTGTGAGATGTAACAAGGGGCCTACAGCACAGTACTGTGTCAGTAATAATACCTCCCACTTCCAGAGGTTGTTTTTGTTGTCTGTGTTTTTGGACTGTTGCCACAATCTTATCAGCCCAAACTCCAGTGGATTATGTGCTGTCCAGCCATATTTAGAATGGTGAAGTTATGGCGTGGCATTTTATTTCCACAGCAATTTCCAGCCGACCACTAGGGGCAACGCAATACCTGTTACCATCTAGTAGGGCAGGGTTGCCCAACCCTGTTCCTGGAGAGCAACCCTCCTGTAGGTTTTCGCTCCAACTGTGACAGGTTAAAGGACATATTCATAGCCTGTTATACACTAAAAAGTATTAGTAAGTTCATGGTATGTAAGGATCTTAAAAGATCTAAGGTTAAAAAGATCATGCATCCAGTACTAGTTCATAGAGATTGATAAAATTCATAAATGTGTTAAAATCCGTCAAGTGTAAAAGGGTAAATATTGTAAGAGGAATGTGTAAACGTTATATTGACTACTTTATTTTGTGGTGCCTAATTTAAGGGTAAAAGTGTTAATCTGTGATCTACTAAATGCTCTTAATCTATGAGCCTGAGATCGATTGCTCTGGTCTCCACCCAACTTTCTGGGGAAATCACGGTCTTTTTTCTCATTATACTAAAGTTTTCAGTGAGGAAACATAACTGCGTCACTCTCGTGATTATTTCTCCCCTTTTTCAGGTACGTTATTGATATAAAACAAGTTAATTTGAATGTAATAACTTGCTAACATGTCAAGAGAGTTTAAGGTATGTGTTAGTAACATCTTGAGTAAGTTAGAGTTAAGTTGAAGAGAGTTATTAGGTGCGTGTGTGAGTGAAACCTGCTTGGTTGCAGCGAAGAATAGCTTCGTACTGAGAGTAGCTGCCATTTTATGCTAATTGTGAATGAGCATGTGCGCTGTTAATAATATATTTTGGGGTTATTTGTATAATGTGTTTCGAATACTTTGTTGACATGGTTGATAAATGTAGTTATGGGTTACTGAGCTAAAGCTACTTTGTGTTTGACAGTTATATTGAAACATTTGTATATGTTTTAGTGAATTACAGTTTATGCTGTTGTGACTTGAATAAGCTTTGTACCCTACAAAACTCTGGTTCCTGTAGATTTGTTGTTCTGTAAAATGTGGTATTTTTGTAAAAGGATTATACTAAAGTTTTCAGTGAGGACACATAACTGCGTCACTCTCGTGAATATTTCTCCCCTTTTTCAGGGGCGTAACATTTTGGAGGCTCCGCTGAGATTGCTGCTCAGATGTCCGGCTTCCACATCCTGGTCGCTGAATTCCGAGCCAGCTAAATCCCTACATAACAACCCAGGCAGGCTGCAGTGAGGAAAGTGTTGCTGTTCGAGGGGAGCTGGAAGTTGGGGGTTAAGTACGTGTCAACTGAGGCCGTTGAGAGACCATCAGAGACAGTAAGGACCATCTAATTCAGAGTCAACTCCTGCACAGTAAAGGTTCCTCCTGTCCTGTCAACATGACAACCGCCTTGGAAGAACTACAGGAAGAGGTAGTAGGAGAATTGCACACCCTGACTAAAGACAAGTTACTAGACGTATGTTTTCAGTGAGGAAACATAACTGCGTCACTCTCGTGATTATTTCTCCCCTTTTTCAGGGGCGTAACACAACCACAGGTGTTACTAACGTGATTAATCTTATCAACCTGCTAATTATCAGAATCAGGTGTGCTAGATTAGGGTTGGTGCAAAAACCTACAGGACAGTAGCTCTCCAGGAACAGGGTTGATCAGTCCTGTAGTAGGGCATTGGGGATTGGGTTGAGGTTGAGGATGGGCTTATTAAACCGCGAGCTACGGCTTTGGTTTCACTTTTGCATAATTTGACTGAAAGCTAACATACGGCAAAACACGCCATAATTAAAACAGCAACACACTCCATAATCTACAGACATCACCACAGACGGCACCACTCTCCATAATTAAAAGGGCAAGACACTCCATCTCTGTCGCCTGCAGTTATGGCAAATGTCTACATTTGCTTTGGAGGTTGCATTGCATTTTATATGTAGAGCACCCAGACTTAGAGCATGTATGGTGGCGGGGCTGCCGTTGGGTTAAAACACAGAAGTAGGATTGTGGCTTTAAACCTACCTGTGGCTTCTCCTCCAACACAGTCCTATCAGGACTAGATACCAGACAAACATTAACAAGACAGGAAGAAGAGTTTATTCATATCCACAGATGTCACTGAGCTGAATGTTGCTTTCATATCTGACTTGTACCTTTCTATTTCTGTCCTCACATCACAACCAAACAACCACCGTCTTGTTCTGCTCTCATCAACAGAATATACACACACGCGCACACAAAAAAAAATTCTGAGGCAAGCTGAAGTCGGTAGCAGAAGTCTACGCCCCTTCATCAGTGATTGGTCAACAGTAGGGATTCTTCAACGAAGTGTTTGTTGTAATTCAACGAGAGACAAGTCGTTTTCATGCACATTTTTCCACTTGAGAAATACTGAACCAAACATCTTAGTTAGATGTAAAATCTCCTCAGCAAAACTGTCAAAATTAATGACAGATTTCATGAGTTATCTTAGATTAATTCGGACTATTTTGAGGAAGTTTGTAATTGTTTCTTTCAATCTAACGTATTTTAAGGGAGTATGTGAACACACTCGTTCAGTTCCCCTAGCCTAGTTTGGCTAGGCACCAGCTAAACTGAAGCATGCTGACGCCTTTAGCTGTGACCATCTGTCCCAACCTATTTCACCCATCACAGAAGAGCTATGACACGTCTCCTTTCTCTGGGTCACAATGACCCCGGCTGGGCTGGAGGATAGATGTACGCATACACACCACACACACGCACAACCTATCTGTTCAAGCAGACTGTGTTCTGTTAAATGGGTGTTTTGTCTATGAAGATGACAATGTTTTGTTAAATTAGTGTTTTGGGGGATATTAAGTCTTGACAAGTTGGCAGGGAGAGTAGTGTGGGGAAGGAGGAGGGAAGGACTGAAGCAGGGTTGTGGGAATCTGGTGAAGGTATGGAAGAGTAAGGGTGGCACCGGATGATGACACGGTAGATGGCTGATTGGAGATCATCTCAGGTGGAAGAAACACCATGCGGCCAATTAGAGGAGGGGACAGAGACGTGTATGGACAAAGACAACCAATCAGAGAGCTCCAAACTCACTCCAGAGGGCCACCCTTTATCTTTTCCCCTGTCTGGGTCCCTACTCTTTAGAGATTATATCTCTAGGACCTGCCTTTAGCTGTTGTATGTACCCATGATTCAACAGGAGCCTACAGCTCAGCCCAGGGAACTAAGAAGCCCACAACACTGGCTCCATCTAATTTACACTGCAGGGTGTGATATACGAATGGTGTTTACAGAATACTGAACCAGAGATCTGAGGGCTGACTGACTGCAAGGAAGCCTAAAGACCCACAGAGAACTGACGTCAGTAAGGGGGAAAAGAGATTGTGGTTCTGGTGCATTATCCACAATAGCTTACCACTTAAAATGAAGAAATGTATTGACGTGCATTCAAAGTAGTATCCTAACATGGATATTGGAATATAGCTTATGAGAGAGCGATTGGGAACTTTAGATGGCTAATTGACGGATGATACAAAGCATGTCCAGTGTTTCTGTGTGTGTGTGTGTGTGTGCGTGTGTGTGTGTATGCATGTGTGCATGTGTGTGTCACTGTGTGTGTGAGTGTGTGTTTGGGTGTGTCACTGTGTTAAAATATATTTCCTGTCCTGAACGTCCCAGACTGGAGGACACACTGGAGACAGACACCAGACACTGTCCTCTGAGACACAGCCCACCAACCGCTAGACACATGCGCACACACACGCACACCACATTGTCACGAATTCAGCCGAGGCTGCCCCTCCTCCTTGCTCGGGCAGGCTTCGGCGTTCGTCGTCACCGGAGTACTAGCTACTACCGATCCATGTGTCTATGTTCGACTTCTTTTGTCTTTATTGGTCACACCGGTTTTCCCATCATGTAGTTATGTCTTCCCTATTTAACCCCTGACTCAATTACCACCCCATCGACAGGGGGATTGTGCGATAAACCTCCAGGTAGGCGCTGCGCTTCCCCGGAGTCACGTGTATCCTCTGTCACAGGAAGAGATGGCAGCTATGGAAACTACCGAATCTCTGAGGCAAGGATACATTCGGCCTTCCACTTCCCCTGTGTCATCAAGTTTATTTTTTGTGAAGAAGAAGGATGGTGGCTTACGCCCGGGCATTGACTACCGTGGTCTTAATCAGATCACTGTAAAATACAGCTATACACTACCTCTGATTGCTAGTATGACGGAGTCATTGCACGGGGCGCGCTTCTTTGCAAAATTGGATCTCAGGAGCGCGTACAACCTGGTGCATATCCGGGAGGGAGATGAGTGGAAGACAGCATTCAGTACCACCTCTGGTCACTATGAGTACCTCGTCATACCATACGGTTTGATGAATGCTCCTTCAGTCTTCCAATCCTTTGTTGATGAGATTTTCAGGGACCTGCACGGACAGGGTGTAGTGGTGTATATAGATGACATTCTCATATACTCCGCTACACGGGCCGAGCATGTGTCCAGGTGCTTGGTCGACTGTTGGAGCATGACCTGTATGTGAAGGTGGATAAATGTCTGTTCATCCAAGAGTCCATCTCCTTCCTAGGACACCGCCTGTCCGCGTTAGGTGTGGAGATGGAGATTGACCGCATTTCGGCCGTGCGTAATTGGCCGACTCCAACCACGGTGAAGGAGGTGCGGCGATTCTTGGGTTTTGCCAACTACTACCAGAGGTTTATCCGGGGCTTTGGTCAGGTAGCAGCTCCCATTACCTCCTTGCTGAAGGGAGGACCGGTGCATCTACAGTGGTCAGCTGAGGCAGACAGGGCTTTTGATCATCTGAAGGACCTGTTTACTTCGGCTCCAGTGCTGGCTCATCCGGATCCCTCCTTGGCATTCCAGGTTGAGGTGGACGCGTCCGAGGCTGGGATAGGAGCTGTACTGTCTGGGATAGGAGCTGTACTGTCCCACCAAAACTCCTCCCCTGCGCTTTCTTTTCTAAGAAGCTCAGTCCAGCGGAGCGCAACTATGATGTGGGGTACCAGGAGCTGTTAGCTGTGGTTAAAGCTCTAAAAGTGTGAAGGCATTGGCTTGAGGGGGATAAACACCCTTTTCTCATTTTGACTGACCATCGCAATCTGGAGTACATCCGGGCGGCGAGGAGGTTGAACCCACGCCAGGCAAGGTGGGCCATGTTCTTCACTCGTTTTGTGTTTATGCTTACTTACAGACCAGGTTTCAGAATGCTAAGGCAGACGCCCTGTCCCGACTGTATGACACAGAGGAGAGGTCCATTAAGCCCACTCCCATACTTCCGGCGTCGTGTCTGGTGGCACCGGTGGTATGGGAGGTTGACGCAGACATCGAGCGGGCGTTACGTACCGAGCCCACTCCCCCCCAGTGTCCAGAGGGTCATATATCCGTGTCGCTCGAGGTTCGCAATCGATTGAGCTATTGGGCTCACACGTCACCCTCCTCTGGTCATCCTGGCATCGGTCGGACAGTGCACTGTCTTAGTGGGAAGTACTGGTGGCCCACTTTAGCCAAGGACGTGAGGGTTTATGTTTCCTCCTGCTTGGTGTGCGCCCAGTGTAAGTCACCTAGACACCTGCCCAGAGGGAAGTTACAACCCCAACCCGTTCCACAACGTCCGTGATCCCACCTATCGGTGGATTTTGTTACGGACCTTCCCCCCTCACAAGGGAACACCATGATCCTAGTCTTTGTGGATCGGTTTTCTAAGTCCTACCGTCTCATTCCTATGCCAGGTCTCCCTACAGCCCTACAAACTGCTGAGTCCCTATTTACACACGTCTTCCGGCACTACGGGGTACCTGAGGATATTGTGTCGGATCGGGATCCCCAGTTCACCTCAAGGGTCTGGAGGGCGTTCATGGAACGTCTGGGGGTCTCGATCAGCCTGACCTCAGGTTTTCACCCCGAGAGTAATGGGCAGGTGGAAAGAGTCAAACAGGATGTGGGTAGGTTTTTGCGGTCATATTGCCAGGACCGGCAGGGGAAGTGGTCGGGTTATATCCCCTGGGCAGAGATGGCCCAAAACTCACTCCGCCACTCCTCTACTAACCTTACTCCTTTCCAGTGTGTGTTAGGTTATCAGCCGGTCCTGGCACCTTGGCATCAGAGCCAGATCGAGTTTCCTGCGGTGGATGAGTGGTTTCGGTGCTCAGAAGAGACCTGGAACGCTGCTCATGTACACCTGCAGCGGGCCATCAGGCGACAAAAGGCGAGCGCCGATCGCCACCGCAGTGAGGACCGGGTCTGGCTCTCGACCCGAAAACTGCCCCTTCGCCTGCCCTGCCAGAAGCTGGGTCGGGTCCTGAGGAGATTGAATGAGGTTTGTTATAGGTTACAGCTTCCTCTTAATTACCGTATTAACCCCTCATTCCATGTGTCTCTCCTCAGGCCGGTAGTAGCTGGTCCATTCCAGGAGTCTGAGGTACGGGAGGTTCTTCTGCCCCCACTGGACATCGAGGGGGCACCGGCGTACTCGATCCGGTCCATCTTGGATTTGAGGCATCGGGTGGGGGGCCTGCAGTATCTCGTGGAGTGGGAGGGGTACGGTCCGGAGGAACGGTGCTGGGTCCTTAGGAGGGACATCCTCGATCCCTCCATGTTGAGGGATTTCCACTGTAGTCATCCGACTCGCCCTGCTCCGCGTCCTCCTGGCCGTCCCCGAGGTCAAGGGGGGGGTACTGTCACGAATTCAGCCGAGGCTGCCCCTCCTCCTTGCTCGGGCAGGCTTCGGCGTTCGTCATCACCGGAGTACTAGCTACTACCGATCCATGTGTCTATGTTCGACTTATTTTGTCTTTATTGGTCACACCGGTTTTCCCATCATGTAGTTATGTTTGCCCTATTTAACCCTCTGTCTCACACTGTGTGTTGTGCGTGTTTGTTCATGTTTTGGTTGTCGTTAGTGTGCAGGTTTGTTCCTCCCTGCGTGGAGGTTTTGTTCATTCATTTACCTACGAGTAAAGTACGTTTTTCAATTAGCTCTGTGTCCTGCGCCTGACTTAGTCTACCGCATACACTGACGCCTTGACACACATACACACATTGGAGATAGACGGCATTTGTGAGACACAACTGACTCACTGCCCGCTAGACACACACCCACATACACCCTTCCCCAACTCCCCGACTGTCACTTAGTAACCAGCCATTATTTTGAGTGACAACAACTTTGCCATAAACACAGCTTCATTAGATTAGGTTCTGTACTAAAGTTAAAGCTGACGTTGATAACAACATCGTTAGGGGATCTGAGGTCTGAGGTTCCTCTGATCTGAGTTGTTTCCTGTACTTTAATTAATATGGTAGTTTAATTACAGGACGTTGATTATAATGTATGATAATGTATTCTGATTGATAAGGGAAGCTCAAGGTAAAGTCTGTCACTGATTGAAGCATTCAGACCATTTGGCTTTCTCAAACACCTCTCACTCTTCAGAGACATCCGTCATGACTCTGTCTGTTTCTCGATCTCCCCCACCTCTCCTCTACTCTTTCTACCTCACTCCCCTTCATTCTCTGTCTCTCTCTAATATATCCTTCTCTCTCTCTGTGTCTGTCTATCTCACCATCTGTCTCTCTCCCCTTTCTCCCTCCTCTCTCTATGTACTCTTTGGCAGTCTACCCTCTGTGCTTCCTCCCTTTCCGTTCCTCATTCCCTCTCCTATCCTCTCTTTGTCTAGTCTCATCTGTCAGGGAGTGTCTATGGTCGTGTTTACACTTGACACTTACATGCGTCTTTATCAGAATACGAAGATCGCATTGAAAAAAATGGGTTTGTATTCAGATCTGGCTGACCACTTCAGGTTACCGAGGTTAGCTGGCTAGTTAGCTACAATAGTTAGCTAATGCCATCAGATGTTGTTGTGTTATTATCATATTTTGCCTATTCCACCGTTTGTAGAATGCATACTGGCATTTGAATATAGCACGGGAAAGGGGAATCCGGACACACTGTGGACACGGTAGACTCATTTAAATGTAGGTGTAGATGAATTCCATGATCAGAACACTAAAGCTGCATGAACTGTCAAGTCTAGACATGGCCTATAACCATCACCAGGGGCGCAACTTTCACTGGGGACGGGGGGACATGTCCGTCCCCACATTCTGAAATTGCATCCCCCCCCAGTTTTAGCAATATAATGTGATACAAAAAGCGGCAACGGTGTGCTTTAGGACCATGCGGATGCCTCCGAGTGGTCGGGTAGGCTGTTTGGAGTGTTTATTCGACTGGATTTAGGACTGCACAGACACCACAGAGCGGGCTGACAGGCTGTGTTAAGGCAAAGCTTCTGGAAGGCTGGCTGGACCAGCACAGGAGAGTTGAGCATGGTTCAGTGTGTATGTGTTGCGTTCTTTCACAAGTTGTAAAAGGTAGCAGAACAGAAACTGGCTACTCTTTAGTTGCCTGATGTAGCTGGCAAGGTAACTGCTGTTTAACTTAACAGAAAAAAATCTAAACTAGTGTTTATTCGCAGTGCTAGGCTAGTATTGCAACTGACATTAGCTAATGTTTCATCCCCTCTCGACTGAGGTAAATGAATAAGCTACGGTAGTGAGTAGCTACCACAGCCAGGTCAGCTCTAGCCTCTAATTATCTGTCAGATGGCGATATGAGGTGGCTATTAGTATTATCTCTCTATTATTACTATCTAACAGCAGTTGTTTGTATGGAAATCTTTTGTAGCCTTTGTTTTGTCCCGTTTCAGAAGTAAATGAACTTGGCAAGCTTTTGCCAGTTGATGTACTGTTGGAGAGATAGCTTGCCAAAAGTTGGCTTACATTAGCTATTATTTTTGCCTCAATCAAACTAGACCTGAATCAAACAATGAAACCATCGGCCAAACGATTGAAGATGGATATTCTGACGATTTTTCAGGGCAATGTGAGTTGTATTAGTCAGTATGGAAATGTAACTTTGCTGAACTTTATTTCCCTAGCTAATTCCCTACTTCACACACTGACACAGTCAGTAATAAACAGCTCTAACGTTACAGGCTTCACTGTCATGGTGCACAGTAGAGGTCTGCGCGGGACCAATTTCTTCATCCCGCTCCCGCCCGCAGCAGCTGGCTTTCTGTACGACTAGCTATCTTTATAGCTTACCTTTTAGGAGTGGGAAGATTCCAGGCAGTGTCAGACAGCCAGGGAAGACCAGTCTAAGGAGCTCAAGTGAATTTTACAGTATATTCAGTGAATGGTACAAAGTTCCATCTTGAATTGATGGGTAGACCTACAGTAGCTACATGACAGAAACTTAAGCTTAAAGCTACAGTCCGGGATCTGGGAATAATGGTCATTTTAATTATTGAACCATTTATTATATTCTTGGATAATATAATGTGTAAATGTACACCAAGGTAATTCTTTGTCATACCTCATTTTAGGAGGATCAGATGGTGACATGGGTCTCAGCAGGGTCAGGCAGCCAGTGAAGACCAGTCTGTGACAGAGGTGAGGTGAATTTTTGCATATACACTATCGGCAAAAAAAAGCATTCCAGGTGAAGCTGGTTGAGAGAATGCCAAGAGTGTGCAAAGCTGTCATCAAGGCAAAGGGTGGCTATTTGAAGAATCTCAAATATAAAATATATTTTGATATGTTTAACACTTTCTTGGTTACAACATGAATCCATATGTGTTATTTCATAGTTTTGATGTCTTCACTATTATTCTACAATATAGAAATAGTAAAAATAAAGAAAAGCCCTTGAATGAGTAGGGTTTCTAAAACTTTTGACCAGTACTGTACAACACTTTATTCTCTCTGTCCAAAAAACACTGGACAAGCCAGATGCTATTTTAAGGCAGTCTGACAAACCTCCAAAGTTAATTTCTAAACTGTATCAAGGGTTGATAGAGGCTTTTCCCGATGAGACAAAAAATGCAATACAAAAATATGAGGAAGACCTGGGAGATGCTATTGATGATGATGAATGGATACAGATATGTTAGAATGCCCAGTGTCATGACTTGCCCTCATGGACTAAGGATCAAAGATTCTGGCTAGGCAAAGGTTTGAACACCCCCTCTCCTGGGGGCCAGTTTTACGACCGGTCGTAAATTCCATGCAGAAACGTTATTTTCCGTGCCATGCAGTATTGGGAGAGGGAACTTCCCTGTGGAACAAAGGAAGTCTTCCCGCCAAGACTCCAACATCCAAAAGTGGATAATGAAACAATATTCCTACTTCAAAGTATGTGGGAAATGGTCGGTGGGGACTTAAAGAACAATCATGTCAAATTTGTTACTATGTTGTGATGTCATTAAAGATGGTGGAACAACATAACTGTATCTCTGGGGGTGTACACTTCCCAGTTATGAGGTTTGCATCTAATTGTTGTGTAAAACGAATGATTAAGTATAATAATACTTTTGTGAAGATAACAATGTGATTTTACATTTTTAACATTATAGATGAGATTATTGTTTTCCATATTGATTTGTTCTCAGTCAGTGGCCACGCCCAGATGAGCACAAACATGATGCAATGCCCCTTTTACCCCGAGGGCATAAAAAGCCTTGAAAAACGAATTAACATTAGACCAGGAAGCGTGAAGCTGAAGCTACACGGCTTAAAATGGTAAGACCAGGAAGCGCCATGGCTTAAAATGGTTGACACTCTACATATGTGAAGCGTGAGCTAAACGTTACAAAATGGTTAGAACAGAAAGACCAGAAAACGTGAGACGGTAGTCCATACGTTTGAAATGGTGAGAAACTCTGAAACTCAATTTCTACACAAGAAGAAGAAACTCACTAGACCATAGAATTACCAGTCTGCAGCTGGCATGTAAAGTAGTCTAGAACTTTCACCTCAGACAACCGTTGGTACATCAGAAGTATCTAACTAACAGATCAACTCTATGAACTACAGGGTATGTGTTATGAGAACTTTCACTAAAGACACGAGTTGGGAAGGACATTCCCTCTCAGACAACAGTTGGTACATCTGAAGTTTCTATTCTAACAGATCAACTCTACGAACTACAGGGTATGCGGACTTATCCATTCTAACCACAACTACGACCAGAAACTCTACCAAGGACATTGGAATCTCTGGTGGGAAAACTAGAGTCCTACATCATCAACTCAACTATCGAAGACTTCCGTGAGCATAGTTGCCAAAGTAACAACGATAGTTTGAATCTCAGTCTCTCCCTTCCACTCTGACCCTCCTTCTACCCAAGCATTCATGTTATTGTTAGTCCAGTCCACTAGGGACCTGTTTTCATTGTATTACATTAGTAATCAATAACCTGTGTGTGTGTTTGTGTGTTTGTATTGTGTTATTATTTAGGTAGTTAGTAAATAAATAATTAAGCCAATTTGTGTATTGCTGATTCATCAATAATGTTAGGCTTCTTGCAGGTTAAAGGATTATGCAATGCTCAGAATGAGACTGATAATGGGTAATTATGTAATAAGTGACTGTTATCGATATATAACATATATATATATATCTAAGAGTTTAATTCGGGAGATGGAAACTTGTTAAACAACTTCTTCCGTGGTGCCACAAATTCCTAATAAGTTAATTGTTACATGATTAATTTAATCGAGTGACAATTAAACATAGTTAGTTGATTCGATGAATAACAGTCATACATTAAAGTAAGTCAAGTCACGACATATTGGAGCCCCCGTGCGAGGAATCTAAGATAGAATGAGGCCTTACTCTTGAATTCAGTCTGAATGAATTGTGCTGCACGTTACGCTATACACCCAGATTACGTTATACACCAGTAGAGCCGTAGGCAGGATTTGTTGTTGAGGTGTGTGTTTCCATTTGAACAAGATACTAGAGGTTGCCTTCGATGTTGTATATCTGACAAAGAGTGTGTAGGGTGAATTACTGAATGCTACGAGCCAGGACATATGGGCCGGCCGATTTAGGTATTCTAAGATATAGTCCCGTTGGGATGTCTCTCGCATCTCAGGAGCGAGTTGACTCGGTCAGTATTAATTTCTAGAGCGAGGACATAGGGCCAGCAATGATAGAAATGTTGATAGATATATTCGTTGACCGGGCCGGAGTTATTATCTACAGTGGGGGAAAAATGTATTTAGTCAGCCACCAATTGTGCAAGTTCTCCCACTTAAAAAGATGAGAGAGGCCTGTAATTTTCATCATAGGTACACGTCAACTATGACAGACAAATTGAGAGAAAAAAATCCTGAAAATCACATTGTAGGATTTTTTATGAATTTATTTGCAAATTATGGTGGAAAATAAGTATTTGGTCACCTACAAACAAGCAAGATTTCTGGCTCTCACAGACCTGTAACTTATTCTTTAAGAGGCTCCTCTGTCCTCCACTCGTTACCTGTATTAATGGCACCTGTTTGAACTTGTTATCAGTATAAAAGACACCTGTCCACAACCTCAAACAGTCACACTCCAAACTCCACTATGGCCAAAACCAAAGAGCTGTCAAAGGACACCAGAAACAAAATTGTAGACCTGCACCAGGCTGGGAAGAACTTATTTCATGCAATAAAATGCAAATTAATTACTTAAAAATCCTACAATGTGATTTTCTGGATGTTTGTTTTAGATTCCGTCTCTCACAGTTGAAGTGTACCTATGATAAAAATTACAGACCTCTACATGCTTTGTAAGTAGGAAAACCTGTAAAATCAGCAGTGTATCAAATACTTGTTTTCCCCACTGCATATATATATATATATATATATATATATATATATATACATATACCTACATACACATACATACATAAAAATACATATACATATCCTTTAAAAAAATATATTTCCCTTTATTACTTTCCAACCCCACCGCCCCTTCCCTAATTGGAGTAAACTAGTGAACAGCTCTACTTCCAGCTTATACATACTATATACATTTTATGGACACAGACAATTTTACAATAATTATATTTTGTTTGTTTTTACTCATGAACTTCCTCTATCCTAAACCTCTCCGATCATTTTCATGATGTCCATTCGGTTTGCTTCTATATGCCATATCTTTCTAACTGTGCTCTTTCACAAGAGCTCTCAACCTATAACCTATATACTTATTATGGACACAGTATGCTTTACATTAGTTATCTTGCTGTTATTAGTTGTTGTTAGTTGTTATTAGTCCCATCCTTCAACTCCATTCAACACCACCCATCTATCTCTTAACACCATCCATATTGGATTTCTATTTGCCATATATTTTTCAACTGTACTGTGATGTTTTACAAAAGTTCTGAACCCTTCTATTCTCATTGTTTCTACAGATTGTGAATTGAAAAGAAACATTTTTTCTAAAAGTATTATTATATGATAAATCAATTGACTATGACTTTTCAAATCACCCAGTAGTTCTATCTGCAGTGTTAGCTCCAGGTAAATATTGCAGTCCTTTAGCCATTCCTGGACCTGTGTCCAAAAACAAGCTACAAATGGACAGTACCAAAACAAATGATCTAATGATTTTGTCTCTTCGCAGCAAAATCTGCAGCGCTGGGAAGATTGTATCCTCCATATAAATAATATTATATTGGTAGCCATATTTTTTTATTATAATTTAAATTGAAAAATTCTAAGTTTTGAATCCGGTGTCATTTTGCGCTCAGTTCATAAACACTATGCCATGGAATCAGTACATAAACAATCTCTTCACAACTATTTTGCAATCTATATGGGATGGCTGTCAATCCTTTGGTCCTTAAATGAAACTGGTATACTTTTTTATTTATCACAATTTTCTTTAACCAATTATGTTATTTAATGCAGAGCCGACAGACAAGTTCCTTGCTTTTTCCCCCTTCCACTTTTCTCTTCCATTTTTGCGGTAATGCTGCAATTATTTGGTTGAAATTTTGGGTAGAGCAGACATGTCCATATGGTTTTGTTAGCTGCATGTGCGACATAACTCCACCAGTCCTACATATGATATCATTTATGAAGATTATACATTTTTAAAACATAAAATAAAGGTTTTATTTCAATTAGTATATTTGAGTTTAACCACAATATTTGTTGCATTATTTGTTCTGTTGTTTCTGGAGGATTAAATTGAAATTGCAACCAACTTTCTATGGCTTGTTTTAGAAATAGTGATATAGAGAACCAGTTCGGATTTAAGTATAACTTTTGTATGACTGAAGCTTTTAGTGATAGGTCTAATGCTTTAATAGTTAATAATTTCTGTCCTCCAAATTCATATTCATGATATAAATAGGCCCGTTTAATTTTTTCTGGCTTGCCGTTCCAAATAAAATGGAATATTTTTTTCTCATATAATTTAAAAAACTGTTCGCTAGGCGTAGGCAAGACCATAAGCAAATTGGTAAACTGGGATAATACTAAAGAGTTAATCAGGGTGATTTTTCCACAAATTGACATGTATTTACCTTTCCATGGTAGCAAGATCTTATCTATTTTTGCAAACTTTCTATTAAAATGTATCGGAAGTGAGATCATTCATTTAATTTGGGATATGTATTCCGAGTATATTCACATCACCATCAGACCATTTTATTGGTAAACTACATGGTAATGTAAAGTTTTTATTTTTTAGTGATCCAATACGTAATATAGTACATTTATCATAATTTGGTTGTAATCCAGAGAGGTTAGAAATGTATCTAGATTCTCTATGAGGCTGTGGAGGGATTCAAGTTGTGGATTTAAAAGAAAACATGAATCATCAGCGTACAATGACACCTTTGTATTTAAGCCCTGGATTTCTAATCCCTTGATATTATTGTTGGATCTGATTTTAATAGCTAACAATTCGATGGCCATAATAAATATATATATATATATATGCCCATAGTGGACAAACTTGTTTCACTCCTCTTGACTGTTTAAAACTTTCGGAGAAATAGCCATTATTTACTATTTTACACCTAGGGTTACTATACATGATTTTAACCCATTTTATAAGAGATTCTCCAAAATTAAAATGCCCCAGGTATTTATATATAAACCCCAGTCATACCTTATCAAATGCCTTTTCAAAGTCTGCTATGAATAGCAGGCCTGGTTTCCCAGATTTTTCATAGTGTTCTATTGTTTCCAGTACTTGCCTTATATTATCTCTAATGTATCGTCCATGTAAAAAACCTGTCTGATTAGAATGAATAATGGCCGACAAAACCTTTTTCATTCTATGCGCTATACATTTTGCTAGAATTTTTGCATCATAACACTGAAGTGTAAGGGGCTTCCAATTTTTTAAATGGACTGGACCTTTATATTTTCCACTTGTATCCTGTTTCAGTAATAATGAAATCAGACCTTATTTTTGAGTGTCTGATAATCTACCATTTACATAGGAGTGGTTCAAACATTCTAATAATGGTCCTCTGAGTATATCAAAAAAGGTTTGGTATACCTCGACTGGTATGCCATCCAACCCTGGAGTTTTCCCAGACTTAAAGTCTTTAATTGCATCCAGAAGTTCCTCTTCTGTAATTTCACCTTCACATTAGTCTTTCTTTATGGCTGTTAATTTTACATTATCAATAGAAAAAAAATCTCTACAATTATCTTCAATTAGAGGAGATGGAGGCTACTGAAACGAAAACACATGCTTAAAGTACTCTGTTACCTCCTTCAAGATATCATTTGGTGAATCATGGGTGACTCCGTCATTTGTAACCAGTTTCAGTAAATTATTTTTGGTAGCATTTCTATGTTGAAGATAAATACAAAAAATTGTGCATTTTTCCCCATATTCCATCCAGTTTACTTTATTTTTATAATATATTACACTTGGTCTTTCTTGAATAAGTTTCTCCATTTCTTTTTGTTTTTCCTCTAATTTATTCTGAGCCTCTATGTTACAGTTTTTATTGATATCTATCTGTTCTGTTAGACCTTCTATGTCCTTTGTTAGTATGGACTCTTTTGAGCTAAATTGCTTTTGTTTTCGAGATGAGTATTTAAAAGTGTCCCATACAATAAGGGGATTTGCTGTAGCTATGTTATGTCAGAAAAAAATCAGTTATAAATTCCTCTGTCCTAGTTAAAAACAAGTGATAATCCAATAGGCTTTGATTACATTTCCAATATCCTCGCCCACGTGGAAATTCAGTAAGAGTAATGCATTTGTCAATTAGTTAACTCCAATTAGGGGAGGGATGGTAGGTTTAGGGGAAAATAATAAAGGAAAATATATAGACAAATATTTACCCAAAAATATATGGGGGATTGGAAATGAGGCAGACAATTACATTGATGGAAGACACAATCTATATGCAATATTAAAGATGATCTACCCCCCCCCAAAAAAAAAAAAAAAAGTATTATTATTCTAAAACCAAAGTTGCGCCCCTGACCATCACTCTCTCTGACTGGGGGAGTCTCTCTCTCTCTCTCTCTCTCTCTCTCTCTCTCTCTCTCCTCTCTCTCTCTCTCTCTCTCTCTCTCTCTCTCTCGCTCTCTCTCTCTCTCTCTCTCTCTCTCTCTCTCTCTCTCTCTCTCTCTCCTCTCTCTCTCTCTCTCTCTCTCTCTCTCTCTCTCTCTCTCTCTCTCTCTCTCTCTCTCAGTTCCATACAAAATGCCTTTATTGGCATGGGAAATGTGTTTACATTGCCAAAGCAAGTGAAATAAACAATAAACAAAAGTGAGAAGACACAAAACAACACCAACAAAAAAACTATGAGAAATGTAACATTGCACTCACAAAGTTTTCAAAATGAAAAATACATGTTTGTCACGGAATCTGCCGAGGCTGCTCCGCCTCCTTGCTCGGGCAGGTTTCGGCGGTCGTCGTCCCCGGAGTACTAGCTGCCACCATTGTATGTTTCTATGTTCGTTTGCTTTTGTCTGATTGTTGTACACCTGTGGTTAGTTAGCGTTGATTATGTGTCCTATAAGTTCTCATTTTGTTAGTCAGGTGTTGTGTGTTATTGAGCGTCCTGTCTACGTGTCGGTATTGGTTTTCCCTCCTTGTGTGTTAGGAGAGGTTTTCGCACTTTGTGTGCGCTTATGTATTTTTCCTGTTTGTTTACGCCTGTGTGCGTATCGCTCGTCTCCGGGCACTTTTGCTCGTATTTAATCACTAAAGACTGTTGTACGAAGCTTCTGTGTCCTGCGCCTGATTCCCGCACCTTCCACATACAGCACACCTTGACAGAATAACACACCAAGATGGAATCAGCAGGAACAGCACTAGCATCCGAGTACCTGGAGGAGCGCGTCCGCGAGCAGAACGACCAGATCAACCGGATCGGGACCGACCTTCAGGACTTAATACACACTCTGCACCGATGGGAGAACAGAGGGGCACCCACATCTCCCCCTACCTTGCCATCACCATCGGCCAGTCTGCCCATCCAAGCTCCGGAACCCAGTGGGATTCGGCTCTCGCTCCCGAGGGCGTATGATGGTACCGCTGCCGGGTGTCAGGGGTTCCTCCTGCAGGTGGAACTATACCTGGCCACCGTACACCCGGCGCCTTCGGGACACGAGAGCGTTTCCGCCCTCGTCTCCTGTCTCACCGGCAAGGAGTTGGAGTGGGCCAACGCCGAATGGAGGAGGATAGACGCCGCCACAATCACATACGCGGAGTTCTCCCGCCGCTTCAGGGCTGTGTTCGACCATCCACCTGAGGGGAAAGCGGCGGGGGAGCATCTATTCTACCTCCGGCAGGGGAGGAGGAGCGCCCAGGAATTTGCACTGGAGTTCCGGACTCTAGCGGCTGACGCAGGGTGGAATGAGCGGGCCCTCATCGATCATTATCGTTGTAGTCTTCGGGAGGACGTCCGTCGGGAGCTGGCCTGCAGGGATACTAGTCTCAGGTTCGACCAGTTGGTGGACATGTCCATCCGGCTGGACACCCTACTGGCCACCCGCGGACGTTCCGAGTGGGGTTCGTCCATTCCACCCTCCAGCACCTCCGAGCCGAGCCCTATGGAGCTCGGGGGTGCTGGCGCTAGAGAGAAGAGGGGAAGGAGCACGAGGGGGGCCATCCCCTGCACCAACTGTGGCCGTGGAGGACACACCGCGGCCAGGTGTTGGGGAGGGTCTCCTAGGGGAGAGGACAGCAGGCCCTGCACTGGGGAGTCCTTCCAGGTGAGTAGGCGTCCCACTTACCCAGAGCTCTCTGTTGTGCACTTCTGTATACCTGTGCGATTTCCACAGGTTGCACCTCATTCCCAGCATAAGGCGCTAGTAAATTCAGGCGCAGCTGGGAATTTTGTTGATCGTAAATTTTAGGGATTCCCCTACTTCCTGTTGACATCCCATTTCCTGTTCATGCCCTAGATAGCCGTCTGTTGGGATCGGGGTTGATCAGGGAAGTCACAGCGCCACTTAGGATGTGTACGCAGGGGGGTCATGAGGAGACTATCCAGCTATATCTTATCGACTCTCCTGCGTATCCGGTGGTGCTGGGAATTCCCTGGTTGAGTACCCATGATCCTTATATTTCGTGGCAAGAGGGCTCTTAAGGAGTGGTCTGCCCAGTGTGAGAGGAGATGTTTGGGTGTTTCCGTGGGGGCGACCTCGGTGGAGAGTCCAAACCAGGTGTCCTCACTGCGCATTCCCACTGAGTATGAGGATTTGGCACTTGTGTTAAGTAAATCAAGGGCGACGCGTTTGCCTCCTCATAGACAGGGAGATTGTGCGATAGACCTCCAGGCAGGAGCAGCGCTTCCGCGGAGCCATGTGTATCCTCTGTCCCAAGAGGAAAAGAGGGCTATGGAAACCTACATAGCCGAATCTCTAAGACAAGGATACATACGGCCCTCCACTTCTCCTGCGTCCTCGAGCTTCTTTTTTGTGAAGAAAAAGGATGGAGGGTTGCGCCCGTGCATAGATTACCGTAGTCTCAATCAGATCACTGTGAAGTACAGTTATCCACTCCCTCTGATTGCGAACATGACAGAGTCTTTGCACGGAGCCCGTTTCTTCACGAAACTGGATCTCAGGAGCGCATATAACTTGGTGCGCATTAGGGAGGGCGATGAATGGAAAACGGCATTTTGTACCACCTCGGGTCATTACGAGTATCTCGTCATGCAATACGGGTTGATGCATGCTCCTTCAGTCTTCCAATCCGTGGATGAGATTTTCAGGGACATGCATGGGCAGAGTGTGGTCGTGTACATAGATGACATCCTGGTTTACTCGCCTACCCGAGACGAGCATGTAGCCCTGGTGCGTCGTGTGTTGGGTAGGCTGTTGGAGCACGACCTGTATGTCAAGGCAGAGAAATGTCTGTTTTTCCAGGAGTCGGTCTCCTTTCTGGGTTATCAGTTATCCGCGTCAGGGGTGAAGATGGAGATTGACCGGGTGTCAGCCGTGCGTAATTGGCAAACCCCAACCACCGTGAAAGAGGTGCAGCAGTTTTTGGGTTTTGCGAATTACTACCGGAGGTTTATCCGGGGTTTTGGACAGGTGGAAGCTCCCATAACGTCTCTTCTGAAGGGGGGTCCGGTGCGATTGCAGTGGTCAGCGGAGGCGGACAGGGCATTTGGGAGTCTGAAGGCCCTGTTTACCTCGGCTCCAGTGCTTGCGCATCCGGATCCCGCCTTACCATTTCAGGTAGAGGTAGACGCGTCTGAGGCTGGTATAGGGGCCGTGCTATCACAACGGTCTGGTACGCCACCTAAACTCCGCCCCTGTGCCTTCTACTCTAAAAAGCTCAGCCCGTCGGAGCGGAATTATGACGTAGGAGACAGGGAGCTGTTAGCCATGGTTCAAGCCCTAAAGGTGTGGAGACATTGGCTTGAGGGGGCTCAACACCTTTTTCTCATTTTGACTGACCACCGTAACCTGGAGTACATTCGGGCAGCTAGGAGACTGAACCCTCGCCAGGCTCGGTGGAACATGTTTCTAACCCGGTTTGTATTTAAAATCACGTACATCCCTGGGTCCCAGAACGGTAAGGCAGACGCCCTGTCCCGGCGGTATGACACAGAGGAGAGGTCCGTTGAGCCCACTTCCATACTGCCGGAGTCTTGTCTAGTGGCACCGGTAGTGTGGGAGGTCGATGCTGAAATCGAGCGGGCGTTGCGTACCGACCCTAGCCCTCCACAGTGTCCGGTGGGTCGGACGTACGTTCCGCTCGAGGTTCGGGATCGACTTATTTATTGGGCTCACACGTCACCCTCCTCTGGACATCCAGGTAATGGCCGGACAGTGCACTGCCTTAGCGCTAAGTACTGGTGGCCAACGTTAGCCAGGGATGTGAGGGTTTATGTCTCCTCCTGTTCGGTGTGCGCCCAGTGTAAGGCGCCCAGACATCTGCCCAGGGGTAAGTTACAACCCCTGCCCGTTCCACAATGACCCTGGTCTCACCTCTCGGTGGACTTTGTTACAGACCTTCCCCCCTCTCAGGGGAATACCACCATACTGGTCGTTGTGGATCGGTTCTCTAAAGCCTGTCGTCTTCTCCCAATGCCAGGTCTTCCCACTGCCTTGCAGACCGCTGAGGCACTATTCACCCACGTCCTCCGGCATTACGGGGTACCCGAGGATATAGTGTCTGATCGAGGTCCCCAGTTCACCTCCCGAGTCTGGAGAGCGTTCATGGAGCGCCTGGGGTTCTCGGTGAGCCTTACCTCGGGATACCATCCGGAGAGTAATGGGCAGGTAGAACGTGTGAACCAGGATGTGGGTAGGTTTCTGAGGTCGTATTGCCAGGGCCGGCCGGAGGAGTGGGCGAGGTATATTCCCTGGGCAGAGATGGCCCAGAATTCTCTTCGCCACTCCTCCACCAACCTAACCCCTTTCCAATGTGTGTTAGGTTACCAGCCGGTTCTGGCACCGTGGCATCAGAGCCAGATCGAGGCCCCTGCGGTGGATGAATAGGTAAGGCGCTCGGAGGAGACGTGGAACGCTGCACACGTCCATCTGCAGCGGGCCATCCGTCGACAAAAAGCAAGCGCCGATCTCCACCGCAGTGAGGGGCCGGTGTACGCACCTGGAGATCGAGTCTGGCTCTCGACCAGAAACGTACCCCTCCGCCTGCCCTGCCGGAAGCTGGGTCGGCGGTTTGTAGGGCCCTTTAAATTCCTGAGGAGATTGAACGAGGTGTGTTATAGGTTACTACTACCTATTGAGTATAAGAATATTAACCCCTCGTTCCATGTGTCTCTTCTCAGGCCGGTGGTAGCTGGTCCACTCCAGGAAGGTGAGATAGCAGAGACTCCTCCGCCCCCCATTGGACATCGAGGGGGCTCCGGCGTACACAGTTCAGTCCATCTTGGATTCGAGACGTCGGATGGGGGGTCTCCAATATCTCGTGGAGTGGGAGGGGTACGGCCCGGAGGTGCGGTGCTGGGTGCCGAGGAGGGACATCCTAGACCCGTCTCTCCTGACTGAGTTCCACCGTAGTCACCCTACGCGCCCTGCACCGCGTCCTCCTGGTCGTCCCCGAGGCCGGGGTCGGCGCACGGCTGGAGCCGCGCGTCAAGGGGGGGGTACTGTCACGGAATCTGCCGAGGCTGCTCCTCCTCCTTGCTCGGGCAGGTTTCGGCGGTCGTCGTCCCCGGAGTACTAGCTGCCATCATTGTATGTTTCTATGTTCGTTTGCTTTTGTCTGATTGTTGTACACCTGTGGTTAGTTAGCGTTGATTATGTGTCCTATAAGTTCTCGTTTTGTTAGTCAGGTGTTGTGTGTTATTGAGCGTCCTGTCTACGTGTCGGTATTGGTTTTCCCTCCTTGTGTGTTAGGAGAGGTTTTCGCACTTTGTGTGCGCTTATGTATTTTTCCTGTTTGTTTACGCCTGTGTGCGTATCGCTCGTCTCCGGGCACTTTTGCTCGTATTTAATCACTAAAGACTTTTGTACGAAGCTTCTGTGTCCTGCGCCTGATTCCCGCACCTTCCACATACAGTACACCTTGACAATGTTAAGTGTTATCAGCTATGTACAGTGTTTTAGCAATGTGCAAATAGTTGTAGTACAAATAGTAGGGGAAGATACATAAACAGATAAATATTGGTGGTATTTACAATGTTGTTTGTGCTCCACTGGTTGCCCTTTTCTCATGGCAACAGACCACAAATATTGCTGCTGTGATTGCACACTGCGGTATTTTGCCTAAGAAATACGGGAGTTTATCAATGTTTGATGTGTTTTCAAATTCTTTGTTTGTCTGTGTGATCTGTGGGAAATAATCTCTCTCTTTGTCTCTTCCTCTCTCTCTCTCTCACTCACACACCGCAGGGGAGACCCCAAAGCTTCATACTCACAGCAAGTAAGACTGAATTTTATAGAAATTCCTCTGGTACACTGAGTGTACAAAACATTAAGGACCCTTTCCTAATATTTAGTTGACCCCTTACCCATCCCCCCACCCCCCTTCCCACACACACACACACACACACACACACACACCTGGATTCACCTGGTCAGTCTATGTCATGGAAAGAACAGATGTCCTGTGTATATATATATATATATATATATATATATATATATACACACACACACACAAACATCCACAAACAAACACGCACACACAAAAACACAAACACAATGGAAAAATAAGAAAGCTGCATGTCATTTATTGTCAGCTAAACAGGCATTTGGGAGTTTTGGGAAATGGGGGTGGAATAAGAATGTATTTTTGCTTACCACTCTATTTCTTTGTGTTCTCTGTGTGCACAGCAACATGCTGTGTGAGAGATTAGAGATAGATTTAGAACCCAGTAGCTACAGCGATAATACTGAACTCAAACCATGTCACCCCGCTCCTCCGCACACTCCACTGGCTTCCAGTTGAGGCTCGCATCCACTACAAGACCATGGTGCTTGCCTACTGCGCTGTGAGGGGAACGGCACCTCCTTACCTTCAGGCTCTGATCAGACACTACACCCAAACGAGGGCACTACGTTCATCCACCTCTGGCCTGCTAGCCCCCTACCTCTACGGAAGCACAGTTCCCGCTCAGCCCAGTCAAAGCTATTCGCTGCTCTGGCACCCCAATGGTGGAACAAGCTCCCCCACGACGCCAGGACAGCAGAGTCACTGACCACCTTCTGGAGACACTTGAAACCCTACCTCTTTAAGGAATACCTGGAATAGTATAAAAGTAATCCTTCTACCCCCCCCCCCCCTCCCCCGTCCCCCACCCCCCTATAAAAAAAAAGTGGTTGTCCTAAGCTATCATAAGTTGAATGCACCAATTTGTAAGTCGCTCTGGATAAGAGCGTCTGCTAAATGACGTAAATGTGAATGATAAACTGGCTGTGGTTGGAGTTTGTTTCACTGGGCACAAGCGTGGCCTCATGCTGGTTCAAGCCCAACATTGTCAACACTGCTGCACACACAGATACACCCTGTCACCCTGGGCGTGTGTGTGTGTACCCACAGATGACGGCGTTCTGTGTGTTTGCGTTAATTTGTGTGTGTGTGTGTGTGTTTATACTGCTATTCTGTTATTCAGGGGCAGAGAGAGGCAGAGCAGCTGAAGGTTAAAGAGATGAGAGATGACGGGACAGTGTTTTTGTCATTGGGAGTAAAGTTAAGAAATTAGGGTTCCCAAACGGTTATTTGGGGAGGGTGACGGTTCTATGAGGAACCATACTGATCCAAAGAACCCTATGAGCCCTTCAATGGTTCTTTAAAGCTAAAAAAATGGTTATTTCCTCTTTTGGTGATAATTCAAATGTAGGGGCGGCGGCTCATTATAATATTTGGGGTAGTGGTTTGTCCATAGTGCTTTCTGTGCAGCCGTGAGTGAGAGTGACATTCCAGTTGATCTAATCGGTTGTGTTATGCTTTATATGTTATTGCTGACTATGGCTAGTGACCGTGTCTTGTGACACACTCCTGTATGGTCTTGTGTCAATTGAGAATGATTGACTTAGTCATTCTCTTCTCAGGGACCCCCAACAGTTCCAGAGCTAGCACACCTGATTCAACTTGTTAATAAACATAAGAAAACCTACAGAATTTTAATATGGCTGTTACACCAGAATAAAAAATACTTTATGGTTCTACAATGTACCTTTGAGATTGAGAAAGGATCTTTGTAGAACCATTCTCCATAAAGGTTCTATAAAGAACTGTAAAAGTGTTTTATATAGCCCCAAAAAGGGTTGTAACCATAGCAGAACAATTTTTTGGTGCTCTATAGAACCTTTTTATAATGGTTATTTGTAGAACCTTAGGAAAGGGATCTTTATAGCACCATACAGGTTCCATTTAGAACATTCAAAAAAAGGTTCCATAATCACCTCATTTTCAACGGAAATATGGGCGGGGTCTGTTTAAGTTTTTTTGTGGGGGACTTCCGGCTAAGCACTTCCGGCCAATAGTTCGCAGCTAGCTAGCTAACTAACTCAGTATCGCTTCTCACAACTTTCCAAACATGGATTCACGCAAAACTGGCCTTTTATGTTCGTTAAGGGGATGCCACAATAACTGGCAGAAACGGAAGCTGTTCATGCAGGAGTGTTTTGACCACCAAACTTTTTTTAGGAGCAAGTGCAGTTGTGAGGCGCCTTTTGATTTTCACCCACCACCCACAAGGAGTCTCTTTGGCTTTGGCTCAAAGCATTGAACTTGAAGAAACCCCCAAACCGACCCTATGTGTGTTCCTATCACTTGGTGGACAAAAGGCCGACTGAAGAGCACCCTTTCCCTTAGAAGTGGCTGGTCTACGATGCTCCAGTACAGACCAGAAGGCGACATCTCATCAGGACATCAACACATACAGGTAGCTGTTAGCAAGCTGCTACTCGCTAGCTATTGTCACAGATGGGTGTCCTGAATCAGGCAGAAGTTAGCTAGCTTAGCTAATTATGTTACTAGTTGGTAGCCACTCCTAAGTCCTAACATACTGTAGCTCGCTAACTGTTGCCTAGCTTACTCACTTAGTTGGCTAGCTTGAGGGCAGCCCATCTGATATAGTGTTGCTCGCTAACTAGCCTAGCTAGTTAGTCCCTACATTGTTAGCAATCCAACAACTTCTGTCTGACAATGTCTCCCCCATGCCATGATTATCCCCATCATTGCTGGCATGCCACTGGTGATGCTCATGAAATGTCTAACTAGCAAAAGTATTAACCATTCAAGTGTTTTCTTTTTTTTTTACCATGACCAGTAGGCTGTCTGTATTTTATTGTGTTAAACTTGTGGTCTCTCTAATGTTTGTTTGACAGATGAAGACAACTGTCGTGATGCAGAGTCTGAGTCTGAGTGTGCCAATGCCACCACAGCATAAAGATGCTGATACTCAATGGGAGGTTCCAGCACTGACTGATCACAGCTACGTGTCAAGAGAACCAGTCAACAAGCCCACCTGCCACAAACAAACCCAAATGTGGTGGTGCAGAGCCATTGACCCACACCATCCTGAGGAATGACACTAACTCAGTGTTGTATACTGGCCTTCCTCTTAGTGTTTGTGCAGAAATTCTACACGGCTAACTTCAAAATGCATATCACTGATCAAATACTGATAACCTTGATGAAGCTGAAGCTGAATCTACTCCAGGGTGATCTTGCTGAACGATTTGCTGTGTCCCAGGGAGTAGTGAGCAGAATCCTTTCCTACTGGATTGACACAATGGAGGAGCACATGAGGATCTACATTCCATGGCTGCCGAGGGAGACGATCCAGAACACAATGCCTCAGTGCTTCAAAGTTCTCCAACACCACTTGTATCATCGACTGCTCTGAAACCACTCTTGAGAAAGCACACTCTCGATTCCAGAGGGGAGTCATACAGCCACTATTATTCCAGCAATACTCTCAAGTATTTGGTTGCCATTGCTCCATGTGGACTCATTATGTTAATTTCTCCTGTATATGGAGGCAGATGCAGTTACAAGTTCATCACCCAAAACTCTGGCTTCCTGGAATACCTTAGGGCTGGCGATTAAGTTATGGCAGACAGGGACTTCACCATCCGGAATCTTCTGTCTGAGAGGAAGGTAAACCTTGCCATACCAGCCTTCACTCAGAAAGGAGACCAGCTGTCTGATGAGGATGTCACAAGCACAAGAAGGATAGCTAATGTACGTATACATGTTTAGAGAGTTATCAGACGACTCAAGGTGTTCAAAATCCTCTCCCAGACTGTTCCCATCAACCTGACGCACAAAATGGACAAAGTCCTTAGAATCTGTGTAGCACTTGTTAACATGCAGGGTGAGATCATCCATGAGGATGCCAAGTGAGCAGTGAGAATGTTCATACATTTGAAATGTAACTTTATACACTATAATTTCATCTACATGAGATACTGTGTGTATATATAGTTTCCTATTTAATTTAATCAGAATCATTTTAATGTTCCTACATTAGAAATGTACTGTAACTTTGCCTGTTCATTATAATTACAGGCATCCAATAGGTGCTGTTATCATGCCTTCTTCAATCTATTTATAATACATTTTCTTCAACACCAAAATATCTAACAGACCAAGAGGGAAGACAACTGTTTAGGAAGTGCCACACTGTTTTATTAATTTGTGCCCTTGAAAACCAAACCAGAATCAAACTGAAAACACATTTGAAACCCTTAGACATGCCTCCTCGTCCTTCATTTAAAAATGTTAAGTATAAAAAAAATGTCAACAAAGTTGAATTTCATAGTGGTTTTTTTAACACCATCATTTGTCAAGTGTAAGATGAATTAAGGTATGCTTAGATAAGTGCCATATGAAAAGGGCTATACAAGGTACAATAAAAATATTCATAAATCATAAGGAGTTATCCGTAGGCATTAGATAAACATGTATGAAGAGAGCTGTACAAGGCAAGATATAAAAAAACACACCAAGAATTATGCAAATATAATCAGGTAAATGTGCATATGAAGAGAACTGTGCAAGACAAAAAAACACCAATCAAGAGTTATGCTTAGATAATAAGGTAGAGCTGACAGAGAGCTTTACAAGGCACACAATATAGGAACTATTTAAAAACACAGAAGTATTAGGCCCCTAGACACCACATAGATGAACATATTTGGAGCACATTGTCACGGTTTCGGCCGAGGCTGCTCCTCCTCCTGGTTCGGGCAGGCTTCGGCGGTCGTCGTCCCCGGAGTACTAGCTGCCACCGATCTATGTTTCATGTTCGTTTGGTTTTGTCTTGATGTTGTACACCTGTGTCTTGTTAGTCCTCGTTAGTGTCCTATTTAGTTCTCGTTGTGTGTGTTTGTCTTTGTGTGTGATTGCTCTTCTGTTTCGTGTTCGAGCTACGTACTTCCCTTCAGTTTTTTGGAGAGGTTTTTCGCACGTGTTAGTGCGCCGTTTGTTTGACGCCTGTGTGTGCCGTTATTTCGCCTTCGGGCTTATTGTGCTTATTTTCTACGTGAATATTGCACTAAAGTCTTTTGGACTGAGCTTCTGCGTCCTGCGCCTGATTCATGCACCACACCCACCTTCAGCACCCCTTGACACACATACAGTAGTTAGCCTGCCTGACTGGAACTCATCTACTATCCTTGGCAGCAAATGTGTGAAATAGAATGCCTTCAGTTTAGGGATAACATCAGCACAGAACTTCACATCAAAAGGCACATCAATAACAACCGGCTCGGATGGAGACCAGACAAGCAGTTTGCATCTCTCCAGTCCTGTGCAGAACATGCCCATTTGCACCTGCATGTAGTACACACAGGCTCCATTAGGTGGCAGCTGAGGAACCCCATCCACCAGCTTCACATCGGTGAGTTTGCAAGAGAACAGTTCAGTCAGAGACAGTGGCGGTTTTACACGGAGGCCGGGGGAGGCCCGTGCCTCCCTGGAAATGTCCCTGGCCACCCCTGTGGCCCCCCCGTGCTGACCAAATAAAAAATTATGAATTTATAACTATTTTACACGCGAGCGCCAAAAGCGGAACTAATGCAACGCTCTACACGGCAACGTTCTACACGGGTAAATTAGAGTGGCGCACCCAAAAACTGTATCCTGCCATCTGCCTGCCTGCCACGTGTGGTGCTGCTTCGGTGAATGAGAGCTCAGCAACTACTATTTGCGAGAGGAGCTACGATTTGCAGGAGTCGAAGGTAGTGAAAAACGATTTAATATCATAAGTGACTTGTTGTTCTTGCACATAGCCTACATGTTCCTCAGAGATTCACACTTCTTACTCAGAACAGGACATTTGATTTCTAGAAGTTATTGAGAGTTTAACACTGGGCATCTGGGCTTGCAGAAAGCCATGACACACTACTGTGCCTCTACTCTCCAGACTAAACCTGCAGCTCTCCATCCATGTGTAGGCCACCTGTTCGTTCTCCTTGCCATATGTGGTTGATGCCGTTTTCACCATGAGGCTGCTGTAGCTGTGTGGCTGCTGCTGGAACCTGATGACTGGTTTAGCTTTGATGCACTTGTGCAGAAGGCTCCCCACTGGAATATTGGCCCCTTCCAAACTCTTCTTAAGTGCGTTGTGGGAGTGGTACGCAGGAGTTGGAGGTAGAGATGGAGAAGCGGCTGGGGTGCTGTCAGAGAACTCGTCACTTGGTTTGTTACGTTTGAAACAGATCTCGCTCAACATTTTTGGAGCTAAATTCCACTTCATCCCCGAGTTCCACTGGCATTACTCATCTGTACAGGACACCCCTGTCAATCCTCCATACACAGCATTACGCACCTTCAACAAAACACTACAGTTAGAATAGTCAATTACAGTACAGAACACTAGTTTACATGATGTTCACAGCTGACTAGTTTACACAGTTTCCTTTTAACTAGTAGGTTTAGGTTATGTTGGTAATTTCCTATTTGATTGTAAAACTCACCTTGATTCTCACCTCATTGCCATTCAAGATTAGACTGATATACTTATATAACCAAAAACCGTTTGTGTATGTTGTAATAGTTAACGTTATCAGTTCTGGTCAGTGATGTGGTATCATCACAATTAGTTAGCTAGCTAAGTAACTAGCTAACGTCAAACGTATCAGTCATAGAAATGGTTATGATAAACAAAAAGCCAGCGAGCCATCTACCTTCCATAGTATTGTAGCTGCATGACTGCAAGACTTCCCCTGCAACACAAGAACACCCTGCAGGCTCCACCGTGCCGACAGATGATACAAGAATCCAGGCAGAATGATGGTGTGTTGACAGGGCTGGACATCTGCTTTGAGAAACACCAGGTTGTCATCCTCAAGACAGTGAATAAGCACCCGCGCAACATTGCCGCTGTGGAGGTATTGATATGCCTCTGTGCTTTTGTAGCTCCTCATCTCTGACCCATCAACACTGACAAAATAATTGAAGATGTCTTCGTAGGTTATATGTGGCCATTTTTCATATCGTCCTCCCACTCTTGAATAATCCGCGGATGTGGTACAGACTTGCCATTCGACTTTGAAAGGTTTTTCTTGGTATGATCCCACAACATTTTGAGCTAGCTAGCTAACGTTCGCTAAATGGCAAGAACGCCATAATGAAAGTCCTCCACAAAACAGAACGTTCTGACATTGTTTTGTTTACAGGTTCTTAAATAAGGTGAATAGCACCATCAAGGTTTCAGCTAACATTACAAGCCAAATAACTCTTATTCGGCACTATTTAGAACCATTTGTTTTTAGTGTCTACACATTTTATATAAAAAAGGATAAGTAGCATATTTTTTTTATGTGAGCATGCTTTTTTCCTCTGAGAAAACAACAGCTGTTTCAAAGGGGATGTGGCAGATTTCAAAACTGTTCCACAGAAGGATACACCTGAGCATCCTCCGCCGCAATAGGCAATCAAGGAGATGAGCAAACTCTTACCAAGCACGCCTAAAAAATGAGCCAGAAACAACAATACCATGCACCCACTAGTAGTCAAAAGGTTGTTGGCGCTCCAAATATATGGTACGGTGCTGTATTCTGTGGGTGGAATTAAAGTACCATTTGAAATACAGCAATTCTTTCCCCAACCACAAAATGTTCCCACAATGCAACATTACTGTATAAAATACAGTTTTCCATTACAGTGTAGATTGAGTGTAGTTGGGTGAACATAAACTTTGGTGATGTAACCCCATAGTGAGTGTATTCAGGTGTTAAGTGTGTTGTCTGTTGTGTGTGTGTTCAAGCATTCTTAGGCCTTACAGGTAATATTTTTCTCATTACTTCCTAATGGCTCTTTAATTGTTGTTCTAAAGCAGGTTTTAATTGGTTTGTTAATTGCCATTAGCGACGTAGCCAGCAGCCCCTCCAGCCTGGGCAGCAGGTAGCTTAGTGGTTAAGAGCGTAGTGCCAGTAACCGAAAGGTCGCTGGTTCTAATCCCAGAGCCGACTAGGTGAAAAATCTGTTGATGTGCCCTTGAGCAAGGCACTTAACCCTAATTGCTCCTGTAAGTCGCTCTGGATAAGAGCGTCTGCTAAATGACTAAAATATAAATGTTGAATGATGGTGGCTGGCTTTTGGTCCTCCAGGTCTCAGGTGTTCAGGCTGATTGTTTGTCGGTCTGCCTACTCTCAATATGTCAGAACTGCGTCCGTCTATGTTTGACTCCACTGAATTATCCTGGTTTTATTTTATATCTGTATTAAGTCTCTCTCTCTCTCTCTCTCTCTCTCTCTCTCTCTCTCTCTCTCTCTCTCTCTCTCTCTCTCTCTCTCTCTACTCCCCCCGCCCACTTTCTCCATCTCTCTTAAACAGGTGGGTGTTTTATATGAGCTGTTTTATTGATCCTACTTTGAATATAAGAGAGGGTGGTTTTAATATCACAATTGTGAGCTGTATAGGTGGGCGATGTGTAAAACCAGCAATATAATAAACTGAACAGCACCAGCACAGTCAGTACATGCCTGACCATATGTATCTTAGGAGCCATTGGGGTCATTGGTTCAAATCCCAAGAGAACTTGACAGCTGCTGTACATCTGAATCCAGATCCAAATCCTACTTCTAAGTTCTAATGAGGCTCTACACATCTACAGCTTTTCATCCATGATATCCTGCATTTATTATATACAGATAATAAGGTATGGCTTCAGTTCTGAAGGTAGCTGTTCACAGAGCATATTTTGGTTAAAAGTAAGAGCCATTGAGGTAAAGTAGAGACACGTCCTGCTGTCTGATAGGAAGCATGGAGGAACACCTATAGAACTGGTCAAATGTAATGTCAAAATGTAGATTTCCGCCTAAATAGACTAAAGTAATTATTTATCAATACCTAGTAATGGTTATACTGCCAGAAATATTAAAATCTCACCTTTTTGGTAAAATAAGTTATAAATTACTGGGGTGTAGTCAGTTTTGAGGACACAAGCGCAAGTACACAGTTCAAATATTATGAAAATATGAAATATTTTATGTGATGTATTTTCTATTTAACAAAACTGTATAAGGCTTGAAAAGACATATGCTTTCTAACTATAGTACAATCAAATTATAACAAGATTTACTATATGATTTCACCTTCTTTATAACTGTACATACATACATATTTGTAATTACCAGTGGGAGGGGCATTCAAGTGGTAAATACCACCTTCTCACTTGGTTATGAATGCAGCATACGGATTCCAGGCATGTGCTTTGTCAGTGGCAGTGATGGAGGGCGCATTCCTCTGCTCAGACGTTGCTGACGCATGCCAGATCTTACTCCTGGATAGGTATTTTAAGTATCAGCTAACTACATAATATCTTATAGCAATCTGGTTTCCGACGGCACGTTCGTTGACCATTGGTTGATGTATGCAACGTCTGAGCAGGGGAATGTGACCATAGCGTTCATACAGAAGTTGATGGACAGTCGGAAGAGCGAAGGAAATGGTAGGCGGGACATCCCAGCTTCAAGTGGTGCCAGATTTCACAGCCTGAGACACACAGGCAGTAGAGATATACTCCCGAGTCCATGAGAACTAGGGCTATCGCTGAATGCAAGCCATTCAGATCTACAGTGTCCACAGATAGATTTGTACGTGAGAATGTTGGTCGGAACCGGTACCAGAACCACGCTAGTCCCATCTTTAACTACTCATTCATTATCTCCATCATTATTATCTTTCTCTTTATTTCTCTATCTCTCTATCCTCCCTTCCTCCCTTCCTCCTCTTTTTCTCTCTTCCACCATCTCTGTCTATCTCTTTCTCTCTCCCTTCCTCTCCCTCCCTCCTCCCTCCCTCCCAGTAGAGTGTAATCATGAGAGTGATCAGTCATGCTGTTTGTCTCAGGGCTGAGTGAGGTAATACCTGAATGACGGGGATGATTCATATCAACTCATTATAAAAACATGAAATGGAACCTGGAGCCAGAAACAGTTCTTCCCTCACTCAAAGGAAAGTTAAGGGATTATGTGTGGTTTTTCCATATTATATGATGTGTGGCTGGTTTCCTAGACCAAGATTTAGCCTATTCCTGGACTAAAAGGCACTTCAATGGATATTGGATATTCTCCCTTGAGCATGCTGTTCAGACCAGCAGTTGGCTTAACCAGCCCATGATGTATAAATACTCAGTATACCTATCCATTATCCCATCTCACTTTGACACCTCATAGTCCATTCTCGCCACTTACACTTTGACCTTGAGTGGCTGGCTGTCCAATGAGAGTGCTCCATGATGGATGGAATTGTGATGGCGATGGTAGAAGTGCAGGTTAGCGTTATTTGTCATGAATATTGTTCTGGAGGCAGCTCTGCAGAGTGGTTACTAGCTGGCACTATCACAGTCTAAAAATCAGATTTGAACCTTAACCCTAACCTTAACAACACTGCTAACCCTAGTGCCTAACCCTAACCTTAAATTAAAGCTAATAATCTGTTCATGTAGACAAGCCTACCTGCAGAGCACACCTGCACTGTTGGCTAGAGCGCATGTGCCAAGACAAAGTAGGCACATTTGCAATTTAACGCAACAGTTTTTGTGACAAAACTATCGGTAGAGTTGAAAATGCGATGGAAACACATTGAACATTCTATTCTTATTCGGTACATGAAAAATTAAGCGGAAAAAATATTTTTGTGTGCACTACGTCATGATTTTTATCTGCAACAAGTCAGTTTGGTGGAAACACACAACTTGTGGGAAAATGTGCATATTTCTTTGTGCGGATTTTAGAATATTCACATGAAAATCTGTCGCCAATTGGATGGAAACTTAGCTAGTGATGGATACATCTTTTATGATCAATTCAAATTTCTAGAATTTGTCATGGATATCTTTGGTCTCTTGTATTGTGCCTACTGGTGAGGTTGCAAATAGGTTTTTAAAATGATTATTCCATATATCTACATTTTGGATCCAATGATCCCAGAAAGTATTAGAATTGATGGACTCTTCAATTAAGCACAGTTGTTTTTGGGTATGTTAAATATTATATTCAAGGCATAAAACCTTGTTGTTTGAATTTGTATGTTTTTGATTTGATAATTTCTTTAATTCTGTCTTCAGAATTTAGCAAATATTTTTTCCTCTTTATGTTTTTTGGTGACTTCAGTTGTTGTTTTCAACGGCTAAATGTACTCCTTCAATACTGTGGGGGTATTTCTTTTTTTTAAGTGTCCAATAATGTTTGAATTTCATGACTTATGAATGCTTTTTGGAATTAATCTGTGCTTTTTTGGGCCCATCTGTATGATTTAGGGACGTTGTACAGTTTACTGGGTTTTGTATATTTTTCAATGGAATTCTCTGTCCTTTTGAGGAACACAGTGATTTGGCTGTGGTCAGACAGAGGGGTCAGGGATTGAATGTGAATGCACTAAAAGAGAAAGGGTCCATATCTGTGACCATATAATCAACTGTGCTATTGCCAAGAGATGAGCAATAGGTATGTCTTCCTAAAGAGTCCCCTCGTACCCTACCATTGACAATGAACAGACCCAGGCTTCAGCAGAGCTGCAGCAGATCCTTCCCGTTTTTGATTTTTGGGGTGTCATCATTATTTCTGGGGGGCGTATTCAAATAATTAAATAAATTGTGGTCAATTATAAAGTTGTCTCCCTGTGTGTTTGTTATATCAGGAAGAGTTCCTGTTCTGGCATTAAGGTCACCACATACCAGCACATTACCTTGGGCTTGAAAATTGCATATCTGTAACTCAAGGAGAGATGTTCTCTCCCACTCCCTCTCCTTCTCCCATGTCTCCATAGTGTAATCTAGTTAGCCATCAGCCCCTGTGGTTAGTTCATCAGTTTTAGAGGGTACGAAGGGATGGGGCCAGGGAGGGGATGTTGGGGGCTATGTTTTTGTAGGTGGCCCCACTGTCTCCCATCTGTCCTACAGTGCTCTGTGTGTGTGTGTGTGTGTGTGTACCTGTGCGTGTGCGTGTTTGTGTGTGTGAGGGATTAGATCATTTGAGTAGATCAGTATGACAGCGGGGAGTCAGATGTTTAGCAGCTATCAGACTTGTTGAAGGGGATGTGTGTGTGCGTGTGTGTGTGTGTATGTGTGTGTGCAGCCCATTATTACCTTTAAAATGTCATCCTGTGACGATTTTGTAAAAAGTTAGGCTTATACGTTTCGATGAAACATGGTGAAGCCCCAAAATTGCCTATCCTGGAAGCTTGTGTTTCAGACATTAGGAAGTGGATGGCGGCAAATGTTTTAATTTTAAACTCGGACAAAACAGAGATGCTAGTTCTAGGTCCCAAGAAACAAAAATATCTGCTGTTGGATCTGACAATTCATCTTGATGATTGTACAGTCATCTCAAATAAAACTGTGAAGGACCTCTGTGTTACTCTGGACCCTGATCTCTCTTTTGACGAACCTATCAAGAATATTTCAAGGACTGCTTTTTTCCATCTTCGTAAAATTGCACAAAACAGAGACTTTCTGTCAAAAAATGATGCAGAAAAGCTAATCCATGCTTTTGTCACTTCTAGATTAGACTACTGCAATGCTCTACACTCCGGCTACCCGGATAAAAACTTAAGTTAGTGCTAAACACGGCTGCTAGAATCTTGACTAGAACCCAAAAATGTGATAATATTACTCCAGTGCTAGCCTCTCTACACTGGCTTCCTGTTACAGCTAGGGCTGATTTCAAGGTTTTACTGCTAACCTACAAAGTATCTCTTCGATTTTGTCCTGCCGTACATACCTACACGTACGCTAAGGTCACAAGATGCAGGCCTTCTTATTGTACCTAGAATTTCTAAGCTAACAGCTGGAGGCAGGGCTTGCTCCTATAGAGCTAAAATTTAATGGAATGGTCTATCCATGTGAGAGACGCAGACTCGGTCTACTAGTGCACCTCCATGCCGTCACTAGGAGGGGTGTGTCCCTTGAGTGGGTTGAGTCACAGAAATGTTCTTCCTGTCTGGTTTTGCACCCCCTCGGGTTTGTGCGGTGGAGGAGATCTTCGTGGGCTATGCTCAGCCTTGTCTCAGGGTAGTAAGTTGGTGGTCTGTTGATATATGTCTAGGATGATGGTGTTGATGTGAGCCATGACCAGCCTTTCAAAGTATTTCATGGCTACATATGTGAGTGCTACGGGGCGATAGTCATTAAGACAGGTTACCTTGGCGTTCTTGGGGACAGGGATTATGGTGTTCTCCTTGAAACATATAGGTATTACAGACTGGGTCAGGAATAGGTTGAAATTGTCAGTGAAGACACTTGCCAGCTGGTCAGTGCATGCTCTGAGTACACATCCTGGTAATCGATCTGGCCCTGCAGCCTTGTGAATGTTAACTGTCATCGTAGGATTCGATCTTGGTCCTGTATTGACGGTATGCCTGTTTTCGTCGGAGGGCGTAGTGGGATTTTTTATAAGCGTCCGGGTTAGTGTCCGCTACTTGAAAGCGCCAGCTCTAGCCTTTAGCTCGGTGCGGATGTTGCCTGTAATCCATGGCTTCTGGTTGGGATATGTATGTACGGTCACTCTTGGGACGATGTCATTGATGCACTTATTAATGAAGCCGGTGACTGATGTGGTAAACTCCTCAATGCCATCGGATGAGTCCCGGAACATATTCCAGTCTGTGCTAGCAAAACAGTCCTGTAGTTTAGCATCCACTTCATCGGACCACTTCCGTATTGAGCGTGTCACTGGTACTTCCTGTTTGAGTTTTTGCATGGTAAACAGGAATCAGTAGGATAGATACAGTGGGGGAAAAAAGTATTTAGTCAGCCACCAATTGTGCAAGTTCTCCCACTTAAAAAGATGAGAGAGGCCTGTAATTTTCATCATAGGTACAAGTCAACTATGACAGACAAATTGAGAAAAAAAAATCCAGAAAATCACATTGTAGGATTTTTAATGAATTTATTTGCAAATGATGGTGGAAAATAAGTATTTGGTCACCTACAAACAAGCAAGATTTCTGGCTCTAACAGACCTGTAACTTCTTCTTTAAGAGGCTCCTCTGTCCTCCACTCATTACCTGTATTAATGGCACCTGTTTGAATTTGTTATCAGTATAAAAGACACCTGTCCACAACCTCAAACAGTCACACTCCAAACTCCACTATGGCCAAGACCAAAGAGCTGTCAAAGGACACCAGAAACAAAATTGTAGACCTGCACCAGGCTGGGAAGACTGAATCTGCAATAGGTAAGCAGTTATAAAGTTGTCTCCCTGTGTGTTTGTTATATCAGGAAGAGTTCCTGTTCTGGCATTAAGGTCACCACATACCAGCACATTACCTTGGGCTTGAAAATTGCATATCTGTAACTCAAGGAGAGATGTTCTCTCCCACTCCCTCTCCTTCTCCCATGTCTCCATAGTGTAATCTAGTTAGCCATCAGCCCCTGTGGTTAGTTCATCAGTTTTAGAGGGTACGAAGGGATGGGGCCAGGGAGGGGATGTTGGGGGCTATGTTTTTGTAGGTGGCCCCACTGTCTCCCATCTGTCCTACAGTGCTCTGTGTGTGTGTGTGTGTGTGTGTACCTGTGCGTGTGCGTGTTTGTGTGTGTGAGGGATTAGATCATTTGAGTAGATCAGTATGACAGCGGGGAGTCAGATGTTTAGCAGCTATCAGACTTGTTGAAGGGGATGTGTGTGTGCGTGTGTGTGTGTGTATGTGTGTGTGCAGCCCATTATTACCTTTAAAATGTCATCCTGTGACGATTTTGTAAAAAGTTAGGCTTATACGTTTCGATGAAACATGGTGAAGCCCCAAAATTGCCTATCCTGGAAGCTTGTGTTTCAGACATTAGGAAGTGGATGGCGGCAAATGTTTTAATTTTAAACTCGGACAAAACAGAGATGCTAGTTCTAGGTCCCAAGAAACAAAAATATCTGCTGTTGGATCTGACAATTCATCTTGATGATTGTACAGTCATCTCAAATAAAACTGTGAAGGACCTCTGTGTTACTCTGGACCCTGATCTCTCTTTTGACGAACCTATCAAGAATATTTCAAGGACTGCTTTTTTCCATCTTCGTAAAATTGCACAAAACAGAGACTTTCTGTCAAAAAATGATGCAGAAAAGCTAATCCATGCTTTTGTCACTTCTAGATTAGACTACTGCAATGCTCTACACTCCGGCTACCCGGATAAAAACTTAAGTTAGTGCTAAACACGGCTGCTAGAATCTTGACTAGAACCCAAAAATGTGATAATATTACTCCAGTGCTAGCCTCTCTACACTGGCTTCCTGTTACAGCTAGGGCTGATTTCAAGGTTTTACTGCTAACCTACAAAGTATCTCTTCGATTTTGTCCTGCCGTACATACCTACACGTACGCTAAGGTCACAAGATGCAGGCCTTCTTATTGTACCTAGAATTTCTAAGCTAACAGCTGGAGGCAGGGCTTGCTCCTATAGAGCTAAAATTTAATGGAATGGTCTATCCATGTGAGAGACGCAGACTCGGTCTACTAGTGCACCTCCATGCCGTCACTAGGAGGGGTGTGTCCCTTGAGTGGGTTGAGTCACAGAAATGTTCTTCCTGTCTGGTTTTGCACCCCCTCGGGTTTGTGCGGTGGAGGAGATCTTCGTGGGCTATGCTCAGCCTTGTCTCAGGGTAGTAAGTTGGTGGTCTGTTGATATATGTCTAGGATGATGGTGTTGATGTGAGCCATGACCAGCCTTTCAAAGTATTTCATGGCTACATATGTGAGTGCTACGGGGCGATAGTCATTAAGACAGGTTACCTTGGCGTTCTTGGGGACAGGGATTATGGTGTTCTCCTTGAAACATATAGGTATTACAGACTGGGTCAGGAATAGGTTGAAATTGTCAGTGAAGACACTTGCCAGCTGGTCAGTGCATGCTCTGAGTACACATCCTGGTAATCGATCTGGCCCTGCAGCCTTGTGAATGTTAACTGTCATCGTAGGATTCGATCTTGGTCCTGTATTGACGGTATGCCTGTTTTCGTCGGAGGGCGTAGTGGGATTTTTTATAAGCGTCCGGGTTAGTGTCCGCTACTTGAAAGCGCCAGCTCTAGCCTTTAGCTCGGTGCGGATGTTGCCTGTAATCCATGGCTTCTGGTTGGGATATGTATGTACGGTCACTCTTGGGACGATGTCATTGATGCACTTATTAATGAAGCCGGTGACTGATGTGGTAAACTCCTCAATGCCATCGGATGAGTCCCGGAACATATTCCAGTCTGTGCTAGCAAAACAGTCCTGTAGTTTAGCATCCACTTCATCGGACCACTTCCGTATTGAGCGTGTCACTGGTACTTCCTGTTTGAGTTTTTGCATGGTAAACAGGAATCAGTAGGATAGATACAGTGGGGGAAAAAAGTATTTAGTCAGCCACCAATTGTGCAAGTTCTCCCACTTAAAAAGATGAGAGAGGCCTGTAATTTTCATCATAGGTACAAGTCAACTATGACAGACAAATTGAGAAAAAAAAATCCAGAAAATCACATTGTAGGATTTTTAATGAATTTATTTGCAAATGATGGTGGAAAATAAGTATTTGGTCACCTACAAACAAGCAAGATTTCTGGCTCTAACAGACCTGTAACTTCTTCTTTAAGAGGCTCCTCTGTCCTCCACTCATTACCTGTATTAATGGCACCTGTTTGAATTTGTTATCAGTATAAAAGACACCTGTCCACAACCTCAAACAGTCACACTCCAAACTCCACTATGGCCAAGACCAAAGAGCTGTCAAAGGACACCAGAAACAAAATTGTAGACCTGCACCAGGCTGGGAAGACTGAATCTGCAATAGGTAAGCAGCTTGGTTTGAAGAAATCAACTGTGGGAGCAATTATTAGGAAATGGAAGACATACAAGATCACTGATAATCTCCCTCGATCTGGGGCTCCACGCAAGTTCTCACCCCATGGTGTCAAAATGATCACAAGAACGGTGAGCAAAAATCCCAGAACCACACGGGGGGACCTAGTGAATGACCTGCAGAGAGCTGGGACCAAAGTAACAAAGCCTACCATCAGTAACACACTACGCCGCCAGGGACTCAAATCCTGCAGTGCCAGACGTGTCCCCCTGCTTAAGCCAGTACATGTCCAGGCCCGTCTGAAGTTTGCTAGAGTGCATTTGGATGATCCAGAAGAGGATTGGGAGAATGCCATATGGTCAGATGAAACCAAAATATAACTTTTTGGTAAAAACTCAACTTGTCGTGTTTGGAGGACAAAGAATGCTGAGTTGCACCATAGCTACTGTGAAGCATGGGGGTGGAAACATCATGCTTTGGGGCTGTTTTTCTGCAAAGGGACCAGGACGACTGATCCGTGTAAAGGAAAGAATGAATGGGGCCATGTATCGTGAGATTTTGAGTGAAAACCTCCTTCCATCAGCAAGGGCATTGAAGATGAAACGTGGCTGGGTCTTTCAGCATGACAATGTTCCCAAAAACACCGCCCGGGCAACGAAGGAGTGGCTTCGTAAGAAGCATTTCAAGGTCCTGGAGTGGCCTAGCCAGTCTCCAGATCTCAACCCCATAGAAAATCTTTGGAGGGAGTTGAAAGTCCGTGTTGCCCAGCGACAGCCCCAAAACATCACTGCTCTAGAATAGATCTGCATGGAGGAATGGGCCAAAATATCAGCAACAGTGTGTGAAAACCTTGTGAAGACTTACAGAAAACGTTTGACCTGTGTCATTGCCAACAAAGGGTATATAACAATTATTGAGAAACTTTTGTTATTGACCAAATACTTATTTTCCACCATAATTTGCCAATAAATTCATTAAAAATCCTACTATGTGATTTTCTGGAATTTTATTTCTCATTTTGTCTGTCATAGTTGACGTGTACCTATGATGAAAATTACAGGCCTCTCTCATCTTTTTAAGTGGGAGAACTTGCACAATTGGTGGCTGACTAAATACTTTTTTCCCCACTGTATATTTACTATGTCTTTGTAAGTTTACAGTTGCACTGTCTGGAGGATGGCTAGCCTATAACATTTTTATAAACCAATAACCTCAGCACTGAATCGCTTTGGCTCCTCTGTGTGTGCTGTCCCCTGGTGTTTGTGTGTTTGTGTGTGTGTGTGTGTGTGTGTGAGTGTGTGTGTGTGTGTGTGTGTGTGCGCGTGTGTGCATACCTGCTTGTGTTTGTGTGTGTACATGAGTGTCTCTGACCCTCTCCCTGCCTTTTCTGTGCCCTGCGGTCTCTCTGACTCTATAAGCCACTCTGTAATTTAATTGAGGGGTGAGGGGCTGTACTCTATGTTTGCAGTTCACCACACTCTCTCCCTCTCCCCTCTTCCTCCCTGCCTTCTTCTGTATTTCCCTTGCTATCCTCTACCCTCCTCTCTCCTCCCTCCCCCAGTCATTCCATTCCCCATACGTACACTGAAAACATAGATCTTTTGACCAGGTCACATTAGCTACAAGGTTGAACTGTCCTTCTCCTTTTGAATGCTGTCCAGGATCCTGACAAGGCCACACACACACCCGCACGCACACAGACACTCACATACGCACACACACACACACACACACACACACACACACACACACACACACACACACACACACACACACACACACACACACACACCAAGGGACAGCGAGCGGACCCATAACGGGTGTTATTGTGTGTGTCTGGCATGGCTTGGTCCAGTCTAGTAATGTCCTGTCGTTCTGCTGAGTGGCTGAGCTACTAAATAGGTCCATTTTCTTCTCTATCAGTCTATTGCCTGTGGTATATCTCATTTTAGAAACATATACTTTCTATCTCTCGCTCTCTCTCTTTGTTTCTTCTCACTCTGGAGCACAAAACTATTCTGCCGTTCTTAGGTTAATGAAGTCCAGCAGTTTACAGTATTTAAATACAATAGAAAACAAAGTCTATAACTGAAATGGCACACATACTGTAGACCTTCACTGTAATACAGTCCAACAAACTACTAATATTACACTACAGGCAGACATCCCAGACATAAATGCTTCTGTAACTGACATTTCTTCAAATATCATTTTATTCAAGAGTAGGAGTTGCAGCACTACATTTAGAATGATTAAAGTTATTTCCTTTGTTAAATCCACTTCCTGCTGAGACTATATACTGCGCCTGTGTTTCATCTACAGATTCTGCTAAGCCAGCCTCATCTCTACAACCTCCAGCCTCTCCTCTCCAGGAACAGGTGGTGGCTGATTGCCCAACCATACCCACCTCATCTGGGCTTGGACGGAAGGGATGACCCCCTGAGCCTGGTGGAAGTAATCTAAATTGTGTTAGCATTTTGGGCAAATTTTAGCCCAATGGGCCTGTCTATCTTGTTTTTTTGCTCAAAAATATAATTATCTGGCTAATAATGGGTGCCTCAAGGGAAAAAATGGGCCGGTGTGGGGACCTCGATTAAAAAAATGGGCCGGTGTGGGGCCTAGAGGAAAAAAATGGGCCGTGTGGGTGCCTCGTGGAAAATTGGCCAGAGTGGGGTGATTTCGGGTCCCAGTCCGCCCCTGTGTGTGTGAGTGTGTGTGTGTGTGTGTATGTGTGTGTGTGTGCGTGCGTGCGTGCGAGCGAGCGAGAGAGAGAGAGAGAGAGAGAGAGAGAGCTTGTGCATGGTACTAAGGTCGGTTTAAAGCTCTAGTTAAGATGTTAGTGTAAAGAAAATAGGGAGGAATATGGAGAAATTATAATATTAACATTTAAGTCATTTAGCAGACGCTCTTATCCAGAGCGACTTACAGATAGCGCATGCACAGGGACGGCTTGTTCAATAGGGCGATATGGGCGACGCACTGCCAAACGGGAAAAGGAAGGGATTTTTTTTCTAATCAATTATATCACGGCAACAGCAGTTATCAGTGTTCACGTCTGATCTGCCAGCCACTAAATGTCAAATCAGGCTAAAGTCGTGCTTCAAATGTCCCCGCCCGTTTTTTGGGCGATTTCAGTCAGGTTGAAAATCGCCCAGAAGTCTCTCATAGCCTGTCATGTAAAATCTATTTTTTTCACATTTCAAAGCTTTCAATACATTCTCTATGGGTGTCTGTGGGCTTGCACTTACGCGCTTTCGTCATACGTGACGTCACCATGAACGTAACTAAGACAATGGCGGCTAGCAGCGTCTCTGTTGCGACCTGCAGTGTGGCGTTATTTTATGTTTTTAATTTGTAGACTTAGTTTACAAACATTCTGCCAACCATGGATTTCCAGTGGTTGGTTTTGGACTGATCTTGTTGATCGTGTACATACCCGCTACGAACGGACTAAATAATGAAAATGCTGCTGGCAGCGGAATCCCAATACAGCTGGGAGACTTGGCTGGATGACAGAGTCCCGGACAGAGAAGTGGAGCCGGCCGGCTTCACCCTGGTCAGAGCGGACCGCGATCCTGGTAAGAGAGCGACTCTGTACCCCGACATTGAACTGCTTTCTGTGTCATTGAACCTTACTATCTGCCCCGTGAGTTCCCCCAATTGTTTGTTACCGTTGTGTACTGTTGATAATCACAGGTTTACTGGAGAACTGAGACCAAGTAGAGACTTTGGACAGGGTGGATATGGTATAATAAAGGCAGTTTATTCAGAGGTAAAGATATCTGGAATCGCGTGCACGGACTCGTTCGTCAAACTCTTAGGGAGAAGAGAGCCCCGAAAACATTGTGTGCAGACATTTTATACAATAAATGATGTAGGTTGAATCTAGTAGTTCTGATCTTCTGATTGGTCCTGATGAGTTGGGCGAGGTCCCCTCCACTGTTGCATTGGCTCTGAGTCGGGTTCTCTGTCTTCAAATGTTCAGCCTAAAGAGAGGGGATTTTTGTGTGTGTGTGTGTGTGTGTGTGTGTTTAACAGTGATGATGTGTGTTATCAGTGATGATGTGTGTGTGTGTGTGTGTGTGTGTCCTCAGAGCAAGAACTCGTGAGTTGGAAGAACTGAGAGACCTATGGCGTGGGTGTTGTCCTTGGCCACCTGCTGACAAGGCTGACAAGATAGGACTCTTTTGTCCATTGTTATAGGATAGGAACAGCATTGATTGAAAACAAACGCCCAACACAAAATGGGTCATGCACAAGATTTTAGTCAGACCAAGCTATAACATTATATATTTACTACGACAGTACATTCAACCAAAAGCTAATATAACAAAGGCATCAGAGATTATTTATAATCTGTCACAGAAACTGGAATCCATCTCCCCAGATCAGTCAATAAATGCTTCTGGTATTGACTTATATGCTGCCCCTGTCTTCATGTTGTTGCTGGACATATCTTTTTTAAAATGTGTGTAGGTCACCTAAATCATCAGAAAAATTGCCCCTCCTGAGAATTTTTTCAGGAGCCGCCACTGCGCATGCATAACATTTTTTTATCATACTGCCCTCCGTGTGAATTGAACCCACAACCCTGCCGTTGCAAACGCCATGCTCTACCAACTGAGCTACATCCCTGCCGGCCATTCCCTCCCCTACCCTGGACGACTTGTGCGCCGCCCCATGGGTCTATATATATATATGCCATTTAGCAGACGCTTTTATCCAAAGCGACTTACAGTCATGTGTGCATACATTTTTACGTATGGGTGGTCCCGGGGATCGAACCCACTACCCTGGCATTACAAGCGCCATGCTCTACCAATTGAGCTACAGAGGACCACGATTATGAGGAGAGATGATGTTCCCATTAACAAGATCTCACGGTTTGAACAATTTGACTTCAGATTCAGATGTTTTGTCCACTTTCTCCAAACATAAAATGTCGAAGTTGCTCCAAACGTCACATTTCAACAAATACATTGACACCCTGGGTTGCCATGGTCGATTGGTTGAGCTACCTGCTGCTGTAGCGGCGCCTCGCGTGATTAAATTTAAGAGTTAATTCCGAATGGTTAATTATGAGTTAAGGTTTGGGATAGGGTTATAAAAAAAAATATCCACGGTTAAATTTAGCCATTAATTCCGAATGGTTAGGTTAAGGGTTAAGGTTTGGGATAGGGTTAAAACCAAAAGAATTTAACAAATCCAATCAAATCAAATTTTATTGGCCACATATGCCGAATAAAACAGGTGCAGACATTACAGTGAAATGCTTACTTACAGCCCTTAACCAACAGTGCATTTATTTTTAATAAAAAAGTAGAATAAAACAACAAAAAAGTGTTGAGAAAAAAAGAGCAAAAGTAAAATAAAACAACAGTAGGGAGGCTATATATACAGGGGGGTACCGGTGCAGAGTCAATGTGCGGGGGCACCGATTAGTTGAGGTAGTTGAAGTAATGTGTACATGTGGGTAGCGTTAAAGTGACTATGCATAAATAATTAACAGAGTAGCATCAGCGTAAAAATATGGGGTGGGGGGTGGGGGTAGGGGGCAGTGCAAATAGTCTGAGTAGCCATGATTAGCTGTTCAGGAGTCTTATGGCTTGGGGGTAGAAGCTGTTGAGAAGTCTTTTGGACCTAGACTTGGCACACCGGTACCGCTTGCCGTGCGGTAGCAGAGAGAACAGTCTATGACTAGGGTGGCTGGAGTCTTTGACAATTTTGAGGGCCTTCCTCTGACACCGCCTGGTATAGAGGTCCTGGATGGCAGGAAGCTTGGCCCCAGTGATGTACTGGGCCGTACGCATTACCCTCTGTAGTGCCTTGCGGTCGGAGGCCAAGCAGTTGCCATACCAGGCAGTGATGCAACCAGTCAGGATGCTCTCGATGGTGCAGCTTTACCATTTTTTGAGGATCTGAGGACCCATGCCAAATCTTTTCAGTCTCCTGAGGGGGAATAGGCTTTGTCGTGCCCTCTTCACGACTGTCTTGGTGTGTTTGGACCATGATAGTTCGTTGGTGATGTGGACACCAAGGAACTTGAAGCTCTCAACCTGTTCCACTACAGCCCCGTCGATGTGAATGGGGGCGTGCTCAGTCCTCTTTTTTTTTACTGTAGTCCACAATCATCTCCTTTGTCTTGGTCACGTTGAGGGAGAGGTTGTTATCCTGGCACCACACGGCCAGGTCTCTGACCTCCTCCCTATAGGCTGTCTCATCGTTGTCGGTGATCAGGCCTACCACTGTTGTGTGGTCGGCAAACTTAATGATGGTGTTGGAGTCGTGCCTGGCCATGCAGTCATGGGTGAACAGGAAGTACAGGAGGGGACTGAGCATGCACCCCTGAGGGGCCTCTGTGTTGAGGATCAGTGTGGCAGATGTGTTGTTACCTACCCTTACCACCTGGGGGTGGCCCGTCAGGAAGTCCAGGATCCAGTTGCAGAGGGAGGTGTAAAAAAAGTGTGTGTGTGTGTAAAAAAAGTATTAAAAGTTAATGAGTTTCTAGCACTTGGATTGAACACGCAACCCTCAGAGCCAGAGCTCGCAGTTTACGCCCATCCATCACCTCTGTCTACAACGCCCTAGCAAAACCCAAGCCTACTTGATGGTAATAGCACTCACCATAGCCCCTAGTGGCGGGTCCTGAAGGTATTTCTCAACGTCCTCGGGACATGGATGGACATTCAATTTCGAAGTGAATCTTGAGCGACCTGGCTGGTTCCCATTACTGGCACTGTGAGCCCCAAAGACAGAGGGAGAGAGAACAGTAATAGCACTCTGTTAATCTCAGGACAGATTAGATGAGTCTGAGCACTATTAGCTGTGTTTGCCCAGAGGCCACACACACTCCCAAACACACCCTCACACAGACACTCACACACACACACCCTCACACACACACCCTCACACACAATGTGATCGCGACTTTGTGATTATAGATCAAGGCCAGAACAAAGTTATATTCTGAGTACATTCCTTCCACAGATTCCCCAACATACAATCAACTGATTAAACATTCTGAATACAAAGCTTGCTTGAACTAGGACAGTGTGTGTGTGTGTTTGTGGGTGCATGCGTGCATACGTGTGGTTGGGTTGGTCTGGGTGTGTGGTGCTTTAATGATGAAAATGATAGCAATCTACTGTAGGCGAGATTTAATTGACCCTTTCCTCTGGGCCATCAGAATTTTTTATGTCTTAAAGACAGACACTTCCAGCACACACACACACACACACACACACACACACACACACACACACACACACACACCCTTCTATTTTATTTAACATTTTTGCACTGTCTCTATGCACACTCACATACTCACTCTATACACGTTCTACACACTCACACATACACACTCACACTGACACTCCAACACACACACACTTAATTTCCTCACACACACATAACACGCACACACATTCATGCTGACTCTACACACACACACACTCACATACAATCATCATACACGCTGCTGCTACTCTGTTTATCATACAGTATATCCTGATGCCTAGTCACTTTACCCCTATACATATCTAACCCTACCAGTGCGGTCGGTGGCGTTTAAGATTAAGGAGGACGATATTTGTTTGAATGAGCATGGCCTTATTTCTATTACAGCATATTGGATAACTGTCATTCATATTCCATTCACCCAGCTCAATGTAACATCAATAGGTTTAGGCTACTACATGATACTCCAATTTTCCCTTCATAAGGTTGCTACAACCTAGCCTACAAACAAACATTTATAAAATAGGCGCACAGATCGAGAGACAAATTGTAGTAATCAAGGTGACAGACAGTGACACATTCAATACCGTCTTGCACACTCTTGCCTGCATCCGTTTAAGAAACGTTTGCAACAGAGTCGGCGGAATGAATATAACCCTGATCACCCACACACAGTTCACTTTCATAGCAGCCATACAAATGGCCTCATCACATTTACGTGCTCTCCTCCTCTCACATTTTCCCTTCACTTGTGGACTTCAGTGCGCAACATACCAGCTGTCTGTAACCAGGCGAAAAAACCTCTCCAAGCCAAATCTTCATGTCATAACCGCTAACCGCTACACACAGCCTACATCGATGTCACCATATTAGCTAACGTCACAGTCAACATAGGTAACACAATCCATGTGTACAATCACGCAGTACAGTGTACAGCAAGCAGTTTAGATGTTACATTGGCTGGCCCCGGTGACAATAAATTAATACAACCGAAAGCTTACCTTGACTTGGAAGAATTGGAGTGTTGGATAGCCTTAGCCAGCTAGCTAACATAAATAGCATTCCTGTCTGTTTGAGTCAGGTTGTTGAGTAGGCTAAATTAGCTGCATTAGCTAGCTAAGTGAAAGTGAAAAAAAATACAATGAAATCTCCCTCTCTCTGCTGCTTCTCCTTAATGTTTTTAGAAATTAATTTGTTCAAAACTGTTCAAATATTGTCTTTCTCTCTCTTTGAGTCAACTACTCACCACATTTTATGCACTGCAGTGCTAGCTAGCTGTAGCTTATGCTTTCAGTACTAGATTCATTCTCTGATCCTTTGATTGGATGGTCAATATGTCAGTTCATGCTGCAAGAGCTCTGATAGGTTGGAGGGCGTACTCCGGAAGTCGTCATAATTACTGTGTAAGTCTATGGAAGAGGGTGAGAACCATGAGCCTCCTAGGTTTTGTAATGAAGTCAATGTACCCAGAGGTGGACGGAAAATAGCTGTCCTTTGGCTACTACACCATGGTGCTACACTGCAGAGTGTTGTAAAGGCTACTGTTGACATTCATTGAAAAACTGTGTTATAATCAGTTATTTGGTGTTGTGAATATATTTAGTATAGTTTTACCTAAAAAGGGTACGTTTTTATTGTTTCACTTTTTATTTTTATGAAATCCACTGAGTAGGATGGTCCTCACTTTCTTCCTCTGAGGAGCCTCCACTGCCACTCCAGTATCCCTGCACATTGTAAATATGGTATTGGCACAGACCCTGGAACTGACCCTGTGTATATCTTGCTTACTTTCTCATGTTCTTCTTATTTCTCTTGTGTTTTTTTTCAACTTTGTTTTATACTGCATTGTTGGGAAAGAGCAATCATTTATATCCCAAAGGAAATAAATGATCTCACTTCAATAAATTTTTATAGAAAGTTTGCAAAAATAGATAAGATCTTACTACCATGGAAAGGAAAATACCTGTCAATTTGTGGAAAAATCACCCTGATTAACTCTTTAGTATTATCCCAGTTTACCTATTTGCTTATGGTCTTGCCTACGCCTAGCGAACAGTTTTTTAAATTATATGAAAAAAAATATTCAATTTTATTTGGAACAGCAAGCCAGACAAAATTAAAAGAGCATATTTATATAATGAATATGAATTCGGAGGACAGAAATTATTAAATATTAAAGCATTAGACCTATCACTAAAAGCTTCAGTCATACAAAAGTTATACTTAAATCCGAACTGGTTCTCAAGCAAATTAGTAAGATTGTCTCACCCAATGCAAATTATAAGATTGTCACCCACTTTCAGTTATTTGAAAAGGAAATAATCTCCCAAATGTCACTATTTCTAAAACAAGCCATAGAAAGTTGGTTGCAATTTCAATTTAATCCTCCAGAAACGACAGAACTAATAATGCAACAAATATTGTGGTTAAATTCAAATATACTAATTGACAAAAAAACTTAATTTTTTGACAGAATGTTTAAAAAAGGTATAATCTTCGTAAATGATATCATCGGTAGGACTGGTGGAGTTATGTCGCACATGCAGCTAACAAAAACATATGGAAATGTCTGCTCTACCCAAAATTACAACCAAATAATTGCAGCCTTACCGCAAAAGTGGAAGAGGAAAGTGGAAGGGGGAGAAAGTAAGGAACTTGTCTGTCGGCCTTGCATTAAAGAACATAATTGGTTAAGGAAAACTGTGATAAATAAAAAAGTATATCAGTTTCACTTAAGGACCAAAGGATTGACAGACGTCCCATATAGATTGCAAAGTAGTTGGGAAGAGATCTTTGACGTACCGATCCCATGGCATAGTGTTTATGAACTGACACGCAAAACGACACTGGATTCAAAAATTAGAATCTTTCAATTTAAATTATTATATAAAATTCTTGCTACCAATAGAATGTTATTTATATGGGGGATACAATCTTCCCAGCTTTGTAGATTTTGCTGTGAAGAGACAGAATCATTAGATCATTTGTTTTGGTTCTGTCCATTTGTAGCTTGTTTTTGGACACAGGTCCAACAATGGCTAAAGGATTGCAATATTTACCTGGAACTAATCTTGCAGATGGCATTACTGGGTGATCTGAAAAGTCATAGTCAATCAATCAATAATATAATAATACTTTTAGCAAAAATGTTTATTTTTAATTCACAATCTGTAGAAGCAATGAGAATAAAAATGTTCAGAACTTTTGTAAAACATCACAGTATGGTTGAAATATATATGGCAAATAGAAATCCTATATGGATGGTGTTAAGAGATAGATGGGAGGTATTGAATAGAGTTGAAGGATGGGACTAATAACAAATAACAACAAATAATAACAAAGATTGCTAATAATGTAAGCATACTGTGTCCATAATAAGTATATAGGTTGTATGTTGGGAGCTTTTGGGAAAGAGCACAGTTAGAAAGATATGGCATATATATATATTATTTATTTATTTTTTTGCTCCTGAACTTCTTCTACTCTCAACCTCTCCGATCATTTTCATGATGTCCATCCGGTTTGCTTCTATATGCCATATCTTTCTAACTGTGCTATATAATATAATTATTGTAAAATTAACTCTGTCCGTAAGGTGTAGATAGTAAGTATAGACCGGAAGTAGAGGCCTGGGCATTGTTGTTCACTAATTTACTCCAAGTAGGGAAAGGATGGTGGGGTTGAAAAGTAGTAAAGGGGAGTATATATATATATATATAAAATATTTAAAAAAACATGGGGGATTGGAAGTGATGCAGACAATTACATTGATAGAAGATACAATCTATCTGCAATATTAAGCTGATCCACCCACCCCCCCCAAATTTTTTTTTTTTTAAATAAAAACGGACACAAAATGAAAAAAAATAGGAAATAAAAAGAATAAAGGCTTTTCACTGTACTAGTGCACGTGACAATAGAAACTTGAAACTTGAAAAACATAGTGATAGAGCTTTATATGGCAATGATACTAGAGAAACTGAGCTACGGAGATGTATCTTGTGTGTGTGTGTGTGTGTGTGTGTGTGTGTGTGTGTGCGTACGTGAGATGATACCTGGTTTTCTGGTCCTGGATCTTGGACACACTTCTTGCGCAGGTCCAGGATTCATTTCAGCCAGGGTTCAGTTGCGTTTCACACATGCTTTATAGCGCAGATCGGGGTACCAAACGCTCCAAGATCAAAATCCTACAGAGATACAGTCACAACCAAAATGATTGGCAACCTTGATAAAGATGAGCAAAAAAGACTGTATGAAATAAATAATATAAATACTGAGCTACAGTATATTGTGTGCTCAAAATGTTTTACTATTGTATTTTGTACTAATACAATTGCTCGGAGAAAAAAATATATATATATTTTTTAAGAGCTCTATTTTCATGTCATCCAACATATGTAAATGGCTGGAGTTTGCTAAACGCCATTGGCAATTGGATTAGAACCGGTGCTATGGTCAGGCACAACAGTGGTTTGGCGTCAAAAGAATGCAAATGCAGAAAATAACCACATACCTACAGTAAAATAGGTTGGTGCACCTTTGATGTTATAGGTCTATCTTGCTTCCACTGGTCCTGGGGCCCTCGTTTAGGTCAATGGCGTCATGAACTCTACCAAGTACAGGACATTTTAGCCAAAAACCTGGTTGCCAGAAAGCTGAAACTTGGCCTCAAGTAGATCTTCCAGCAAGACAATAACCCCAAGCACACATCACAATCCATAAAATATGTGTTAATTGACCACAAAATCAACATTTTGCAATGTCCATCTCAGTCTCTGGAATTGAACCCCATTGAAAACCTGCCATTTGTATTGAAGAGGGCAGTCCATAGCACAGACAAAGGATATCAACGATCTGGAAAGTATGGAGGAATCATCAAAGAGCCCTCCCAATGTGCCCTCCCAAAAACATTTTAGAAAAAGGCTCAGTACAATTATCGTTGCAAGGGGAGGGTGCCAGAGTATTGAAAACAGGGTTTGCCAATAAAAAATTATTACTTGTTAAACAAATTCTTTGTCTCTGAGCAATTGTATTAGTATAAATGAACGTTGTATTAGTATAAATGAATGTTTACAATTTTTTGGGAGAATACAATATAGTGCCGATTTTTTATTATTTCTTTTATATAGACTTTTTGGCTCATCTTTATCAAGGGTGTCAATAATTTTTGACGTGACTGTATGTGAAAGCGCCCATAGAGTACCACCATTCTGTTGCCAAAGAAACGCAGTAGAACTTATTTAGATGCACACAAATAAATTGTCAGCAACCCAAGTCAAAATGTATATTTCCAGTTCTCCACTGTTGTACAGTTTATAAATGTAATATTCAACAGAATATCATAATTGTTAATAAGGCTGCAACAGTAGATTCCACTCCAGTTTATCTAAATAAATGTCCATATTGAAACTGACCCTATCCTAGATAGTTGGAGAAGGAAGGACGGAGGAGCGGGCATGAGATCAAGGAAAAAGGGCATGAGATCAAGTACCAACACACACAAGCACACACACACACACACACACACACTCACACACACACACACACACACACACACACACACACACACACACACACACACACGGTGGTGTAGTCGTGCCTGGAGAAGTGGGTATACTCTAATTTTGCCCCAAATTTCCCAAACGGCCCGCCGTTGTACTCAGAATGACCTAAAATAATATTGGCCTAATATTGAAACAGATAAATGGGTCTGTCAACTGAGTCAGAAATTCACAGGATTCAGATGTAATCGTTTATCAACATTTTAAGCTGATCATTCTGATCTGTTTCATCAGCCTTATTAATTACACTACTTCAATAAATGGGTACAGTATATGGCGCATACCTGCGTATACCCTCCACTACACCACTGCACACACACACACACACAAGGCAGGTAGCCTAGCATTTAGAGCGTTGGGCCAGTTAGAGCGTTGGGTCACTAGTTCGAATCCCTGAGCCGACAAGGTGAAAATTCTGTCGATGTGCCCTTGAGCAAGGCACTTTACCATAATTGCTCCAGGATCGCCATTGATAATGATAGTCCCTGGCTGTGACCCCATTCTCTGAGGGTGTCTCAAGGGGAGATGGGATATGCAAACAAACACATTTGCAATTCACACATGTGTGAAATTCACTTGTACATGTGTGAAAAAGGTTAAATATAAGCACCCACCAAATTATTATTATTATTCTCACACACACACACAGGCACACGCCGACACTACCGGGCAAACACAGATAACATTCAGCAATACCAACCGTGAAAATAGTCAAATCCCACTCGGCACAAAGTTCAGCTTTACAGCATTCTCTGGTAATCAGCCCCCTTCACACCTCCTCTCCTGCCCTAGAGGGTCTAGGACACAGATGTCAAACTCATTCCACGGAGAGCTGAGTGTCTGCAGGTTTTCACTCCCTCCCTTGGACTTTATTGATTAATTAAGGTCACTGATAAATCAGGAACTCCCCTCACCTGGTTGTCTAGGTCTTAATTGAAAGGAAAAACCAAACACCAGCAGACACTAGGCCTTCCACTGAATGAGTTTGACACCCCTGCAATAGGGGAACTCTTTTTGGTGCTAGATAGAACCTTTTGCGGAGGGTTCTACCTAAAACCGTCTATGTAGGGTTCGTCAAAGAACCCCCTGTATATGGTTCTACCTAGAACCCTCTATGAAGGGTTCTACCAATAACTATTTTATCTTTGGAGGGTTCTTCCTAGAACCCTCTATGAATGGTTCCACCAGCCTTATTAGCCTTTAAGATTCAATTATTTATGACAACACATTGCATATATCATATGGCCTTTGAAGGCCTATTTATACCCTAATACAGTGGTGTTAGGAAACTCCTGGTTTACAGGCCACATCCGCCCTACAAGTCACGTTATGCTGGCTTGAAAATTGAAATGTAATTCCCATTGGAATCCAGCCAGAGTTAGGATATCCAACAAGTGAAAATATTTATCACCTGCAACCTGCATTCAGAATGACTGCCAGGTTTAGGAACATTGTGAGCAGACTACCTAAGCCATTTAAACTGCAACAACCATTTCAATAACGGGTGCAATAAGTCCAACAACTAATAGATTGGATTTGTTTAAAAAACTGTATGTTATTTATCTTTTTGTAGCATAAAATGTAGGGAGTGACTCCTAATCCATGACCGGATCTTTTGTTTCTGAGGCTCTGTATCCATGAGTGCACAAATTCCCAAAGTATCTCGCGAATTTGGGACTTCGGTCAACAAAACCGGATTAGATACAGCTAGTTAAATCAGAGTTAAATGCCAAAAAGATGATATTCGCAATGTCATTAAGCAAATAACAAACAGTGATATCCACTACAATGTCAAAACATGATTTTGTCATGAGTTCAGTACCATTTGCTTGATTTTGCAGTTCCACAAAAATGATGTATCATCATTAGCTAGCTAGCTAACATTAGCTGATAGCGACGCTAGTGTTAGCTACCTATCTAGCAATCTCTAGTTGAGTCCAATGGAAACCGATGCAACCCTGCTGGCTATGTGGCTAGCTAAATGACCATTGGTGACAGTGAGGTCCATACCAGACCACTGTTGTGTCATCGTCAAACTCCAACACTATCATTAAGTTTGCCGATGACACAACAGTGGTAGGCCTGATCACAGACAACGATGAGACAGCCTATAGGGAGGAGGTCAGAGACCTGGCCGTGTGGTGCAAGGATAACAACCTCTCCCTCAACGTGATCAAGACAAAGGAGATGATTGTGGACTACAGGAAAAAGAAGAGGACCGAGCACGCCCACATTCTCACCGACGGGGCTGTAGTGGAGCAGGTTGAGAGCTTTAAGTTCCTTGGTGTCCACATCACCAACAAACTAACATGGTCCAAGCACACCAAGACAGGCGTGAAGAGGGCACGACAAAACCTATTCCCCCTAAGGAGACTGAAAACATTTGGCATGGGTCCTCAGATCCTCAAAAGGTTCTACATCTGCACCATCGAGAGCATCCTGACTGGTTGCATCACTGCCTGGTATGGCAACTGCTCGGCCTCCGAATGCAAGGCACTACAGAGGGTAGTGCGTACGGCCCAGTAAATCACTGGGGACAAGCTTCCTGCCATCCAGGATCTCTATACCAGGTGGTGACAGAGGAAGGCCCTAACAATTGTCAAAGACTCCAGCCACCCTAGTCATAGACTGTTTTCTCTGCTACCGCATGGCATTGACCTGGTACCGGTACCCCCTGTATATAGCCTCGCTATTGTTATTTTACTGCTGCTCTTTAATTATTTGTTACTTTTATTTAGTATTATTTTATATTGTATTTATTTGTGTGATCTTTTTTGGTATTCTTTCTTAAAACTGCATTGTTGGTTAAGGGCTTGTAAGTAAGCATTTCACTGTAAGGTCTACACCTGTTGTATTCGGCGCATGTGACAAATACGATTTGATTTGATTTGATATATGAGATTCAAGGCTCTAATAAGTGTCATTGTGCAGAAATAGCAAAGAAAATATAGTTTTATGAGCTAGCTAAGTTAGCTAGTAAGGTGTACCATTTATCAAAGAGGATGCTAGCTAGCTTTGTGTGCATGGCAGGACCAGTGTTGTCAAAGATGGTAGACTGTCTCTGGTATTGTGTCAACATTACAACCAGGACGGACTGTCCTATGGGACATAAAAACGCTGGTACATACACAGATGCAGCTCTCATGCAATGCAATGATCTTTAGCTATAACGTTAGTTCATAACAGTCCATGCACATACATTCACATAGCTATGAGCGAGCATGTTGTAAAACTGTAAAGTAGTTAGCTAAATGTGTCATCTCCATTAGCTATACATCTTGCTATCGCATACAAAAATGCATACGACAAAAAGTCGCTCAATACATTGCATATTAGTCCTCAATGTCTCTGACATTTGGCTCGTAGTTCTTGTACAGGAAAGAAGTGGAGACCATTTTCAGGGACCTACCAGATCAAAACAAACAGTGAACAGCGAGGGGATCAAAATGATGGTTAGGGAGAAATCAACCATACGACCACTAGTGTCACCGTATACCAAATTGATTTCAACTACTTGATGGAGTCCACTCTACTTTGCTGCACTGGTGTAAAATGTTACTATTGCATATGATTTGTATATTAACATATCTGGGACGATTTGGAGAACACTTATGGATCTGTTAGACACATACATTATTATTATTATTATTATTTTACATAAATTATGTATTTTCTCTGTAAACTGATTTGACAACTGATTTGCATTTCTGGGGTGAGGTGGGGCTAACTAAATGAGCAATGGCAATTCAGGAGAAATGGAAATACAGCATACATTATGATATCAAATGCCTTCCTACACTTTAATATGGGGGATGCAACCAAGCTCACATTAAACCCTTCATGAAGACAAATGATCGTGTTTCGACACTGTAGTAGCTATTTATGTTTTGGTTGTTTGTTTTTTGCTTAGTGACATTGCGAATATAATCTTTTTAGCATTTAGCTCTGATTTAACTACCGGTATGTATTTAATCCGGTTTTGGCATGACAACATTTGTGGTCCCAAAGTCCCGCGATATACTGTGAGAATTTGCGCATTCAAGGATGCGGAGCCTCAGAAATAAAAGATCTGGTCATGGATTAGGAGCCACTCCCTAAACTGTATCAACTAATCAATGTACACTTAAAAACAAAGATTTAAAAACAAACAATTCTGAAAATCACCCTGCAATAGAGCATGCTTGAAAATATTATATGTTTCTATGTAGAACCCTTATTGCCTTCCAAAGAATCCTTTTTGCCTTCGAAAGAATGATCAAAGAACCCTTTCTTCCAAAAGGGGTTCTTAAGATGAAAATGGTTATTGGTAGAACCCTATCCCTCCTCAAATAACCCTTTTGGAACCCTTTTTTTATATATGTTGGATAGAGACACACCAGAGTGGTATACCACGAAGCAAGCTAGATCTACTCAGGGTTTTCTAAAGCTAGCCAGCTTCAGTTAGCTTCACGTTCCAGCTCAGGCTTCATCAGTACTACGACGGTGGATATTGCTCGTCCACCTGCCGCTAACTCTAGCAGGCTTGTAACTGACTGTGCATGTCACACATGGCTAGTAGAACGCCAAACTTTTCATTGAGACAATGCCGAAACATCAATCCATGGGCGAGTCAGTGCCACATTTTTATTTGTGCCGAAAGCAAAATGAAACAAAAGTGATTGTACAAATTCAGCAGGCTATGGTGTGAAATAGGCTTTTAGAAGCGTCGTCATTATTTTATTGAATATTTATGCCGTCTTTGGTGTGCTTTGGTGTGCTTATCAATGTACATGCACCATTTTCCCACTCCTATCTATACACATGTTGTATTGTCATACTAAAGAGTTTCAAATGCATACTGTCATTACTAAATGTGTAATGTGATAGGTATTTTAACATTACTATTTAACATTCCATAACATTAACATTTCACACCAAGAAAACATTTGATTAATAAAATATTTAATCAGTCATCTTCCTCAAATGAAGTGGATGATGGCGCAATCTTTGGCAGAGGGAGGGAATCTGATTTCATTGTTCCTCGCAGCTCAGACACTTCATTCAGGATAAATAGAGTTAGACCTGAGTAAGCCTCCCCCAGAGCAGGTTAGTTCTGAAGGATTTTTTGCAATAGTACCTGACTAAAAGGTGAGCCACTTTTGGTTATCCCGAGTTGAACTCAGAGTTGACCGAAACCTAATTTGTATTATAATGTCTGAAGTCATCTATGTTGGCTATACAGAGAGAGACCTCAGAGAGAGGGAACTCAGAGAATTAGATGGATTTTGTGGAATGTTCCTGCTAGCATGGAATACTGTGTCATACTATATGACGTATGGTACTACTGTATGTGCCTCTGAAACCAACAGAGAACTACAGGAAATGTACAGTAGGACAACAGAAATGTGATATTTTGCATAGAAACAGAAAGAGAAACATAGAGGAACATGGAGAAAGAAAGAGACAGAAAGAGGAAGACAAACAGGCAGTGAGAGACATTACGATACAGTAAATAATAGCAGCCTCAAAATAATCATCATTATGTTTTAGAGTGGGATGAAAATGTGATAGAAATCCATTACTATTTACTGCTTTGAAACAGAAACATATTGACACACACAAATATATACCTCAGGGTGAACTATAGACTAAATGGCATGGTGTCTTTGGTGTAATAACCAGTGTTTTACTGTCCTATACTAGT